CTGGGCAACCGGCTGTCAGTTCAAAAGAACACACGCTATGCTATTTTTTTTAGCTTTGATCGTGTCAAAACGATTTTGAAAAAAAAAACCTTAAGAACTACAAAGGTCTTTAAAACGTAGTGTTCAACGACCAAGTACAATGGAAATACATTTGAGAGATACTATCTATATTGCTGACTCCCTGCTACTTGTGTCCTATACTTCACGCGTACCACTCGTCCGTCGGTAAATATGGACTACTGAAGATTATCCACATGAGATCTAAAACAGTCTAGTGTTGATATCAGATGACTGAACAGGTCTATGCTGACCAAACAGGACAGAAAATGAAACTGGGAAATAAAAAGAAGTTATACATTTTCATCTGCTGAACACTGACAGCGGCAGGTTTTATCTGAGGTGTCATTTGATAAGTAATTAAAGTAATCTGACATGACATTTAAAATGACATTTTCGTCAGCAAAAAATACTTAATGTTGTGAGAACGAATAACGTAGTTTGAAGTAGCGTAGGAATATTTTGTTTCGTCTCAAAATATCGATAGAGGACATATCTTAACTTCACAACCCCGGTGACTACTGGTTGTATCTTAATTTCCAGAGAGAAGAGTTGGGAAAAGTTCTCTAGTACATGTTTGGGAAGTGTGGATTCCAAACGTCAGTTTTATTGCCCGGCTCCTGGTGAACAGGTGTATTACATCCGTCCGCTCTGTCCCTGTCTGTGTCGCTGTTCTGAGTCCCGTCCTTTCTCTGGTACAGAACAGGGAAGAACCGTCGCACGACGAAACGAGGTCAGCTGTCAATAACTTTCACAAGAAACAGGCGTCGCCTAATTCAATCCTGTTCGACCGAAGCACATCTTTTTACCCCACATTCAGACAAGCACACACCAAACCTGCCTTTTATTACCAACCCTTTGCTCCATGTGCTAATGAACTCAAGATACAAACGGTCTTACACCTACCATTGTCGTATCTTACGCACGGACCGTCTTTTTGCGCTTAAGACATTCAATGGTACGTCTACTTAAGGTTATGTACTTAAAGTATTTTGCCTTCTCGCCTTGAGATCCCACTCAGGTGTTTCGACCTTTTTTTCTTACTGGAGAGACATCTGTAAATATTGGCCCGGTGAATTACGCACACAGGTTTTCTGTCTGTTTCTCTCGAGACTCGCTTTGTTTCGCAAGGATGGTATTGACATTTAAGGATTCTAATATTTGAATCGAGCATTCCTATATTAGATTGTGAATGCACGCAATCAATAAAGAACAAACGGCTCGTTTACCAAGGCTTACAGAGAAACATTTCTCGCTATTGTGCAGTGTATACGGTGTTGTGGCGTGCGCTAGCTACCAGTGTGTGTGTACATGTAGGGCTGTGGCAGCTTGTCACGAAAAGCATACTTACCTCTGTCAAACGTACAAATAATGCTGCTTGAAAGATTGAGGTTAAGCCTAGGTATGCATTCTGTTTAGTTGGTTGAATAAAACATGTTGGAAAAGTTACTAACGTAGTTTTTCACTGTCGATGTCAAATTGCCATCTTTCTGGACCATACAACACAATGTTTATGGGTTTTCGGCAACGCCCCAGTCGTTTTGTCGCTACAGGTGTAGACAGAGTTTGACACTGCTACGTGCCCACATAAAAGAGGCCAGAAATGACCCAGTTTTCCGACTTGTCATTAAGGTTCATACATGAAGTGTCCTTTGCCGACTTTACTGAGATTAGAAACTAGCCAAGAACGATAAAAAAACTTCTCTCGTCCAAAATGCCGGACAGTAGCAACTTGCCAAATATAACCGCCTTGTCCACCCTTCTGTTCTTCTGACGGAATAATCCTTCATCAAACAGATAGAAAATGTACTATCAGCTGGTTTACTTCATATGTAGCCACTGAACAACTAGATCAGATAAAAGGCGGGCAAATACGATGAGAAGGTGTTCTGGCTACCGGGCAGCTGGTGGGTACGAGACCTGGGCACAGGTCCCGGTCTCCGAGTGACCACTTCATTTTACTTGATTTTAATACCTTGATTTAAACATCTTAATGGGTTCAGATAGCTATAACGCCTGCAGAAGAAGTGAGGTACCAAGCGCTTAACTTGCCCTCCCACTACCTCACACTGAGTCACAGCCTTTGCTCCACGAAGATCGCAGACGATAGCACACAGTGTGTGTCCTTTTTCTCTGTCGGACACACGATGACGACCCACGCCTCCACACTCACAGCGCCAGCTGTGTAATAAACTTTAGACGAAGTGACAAGCGTTCGACACGTTTGTCATGACCCTCCTGAATAGAAGCTGCCATCTGAAGTACATAGGAACAGAGACGCCATAACTATATTCACCAAAGCTGTGTAATCTTCTCCTACAACACTATCGGTGGGGAAAACAAGTCGCGACAAAAGGAAGGTTTTACTGCAGCGCTTGTGTCCATTCCTCATAATAACAGTATCCGTGAACTTGTGTTCATGTTTTGTCACCAAAACTATTTCCTCTGTTTTGACAACATCACCTGTGGTTTTCTCTGTTATATTTTCCAACTATAGATGTAGTCACGCCGCCAAAGCTAACACACGTGTGCCGAAATCTCACGGCCTAAAGGCAAACATCACCACAAAGATAGTGAAAAAAGCAAATTCATGTCCACGTCTGCCCCTCCCCTGGGACGTGCTTCCCCATCAGTTTGATGAAGGTGGCGGCACCTGCGTTATTAAGTTGTCTTGTTCCGTGTGGAGCGACCAACAAAGCCATCCATGGGCGCAGAATGGTCGGTACTATCTGCATGTTTCCCTTGCTCAAATTTGGCACACCTGTTCCGACATTGACATTGCGAGCCGACAATTACCGACCTGTCTCCCGCCCGGCTGACAATAATTGTGCCCGACAAGTGGCGAAGGCAGCCGACAAGCAAGTGAACAACCGAGCTCAATAGACCAGCGTTCCTGAATTTATTTGGCTTGCACTTCCATCTGACACCGTAATCCTAGGGTCTACACGGGGGAAATGAGGTAAATACAGGGTGGCAGCGCGCGGTCATGACCGTTGGCAGTGTCGAACGGTTTGACAGTCTGATTTATGTACACGTTACCGTCAGCCATATGCTGGGCTTTTAACGCCAGGAAAATGTGCCTAAAGACTTACAACCTGCGTGTGTGTCACCAACAACATGTACAACATTAGGCGTGATAAATCATCCTCAGTCCTGTCGGTTCAACAGTTCCTCCGGCAAGGTCACTCACGGAGAGTTTATACAGACCCTGTACGGCCCACGACTGGCCTAACTGCACATTACTGGACAGTCAGCAAGACATGATAGCAAAAAAGTCTGAAAAGTGACAGACATCATCTCTAAATACTAGTAGACCACAAAAAGAGATACCGGTACCTGTCCTACGATGTGCTTACTAGTATATACCATGCGGCGTATTGTCAGCCAATCTCAGGTACGACGATATGCGGACAGTGTGGAAACGATCTTGGTTTGCAAGCCGGGGGACTGTGCTTACATTTTGGAACTTTTAGACTTGGCCTGGTTGACCGTTATTGACATCCTTTTGTCGGATTAAAAAGAAGTTAGAGCTCCCACACATATTTCAGCTGCTTTCAGGTGGACCTAGCTCCAATAGTGGAGGTGGTTGTAATGACTTTGTCATAGGATAACCAACCAGAGCAATCCTGAAAAATAAAGGACAAAGCTTGACTACCACACACCCCGGCCTAGACAGCCATAACACTTATGATTCAAAATCTTCCATCATAGTACTTCACGGCACTTCGGCCCGTCGACACCGTTGCTGTAACAGCGTTTGTACCATGTGTACAAGTGATCGACATTGTACTAGTATATAGTCCTTCCCATCGGCGTCGCCGTGAGAAATATTAGGCGCTCTACCAGCTGCGTTCAACATTTATCTTGTTTGTTGCAGGTGCGGGAAGGTGAAGGTATTTGTGTCTTCACTCTTTGTGTTGTGTCAAACCTGTATGGTTAGTCAAAGTGCTAATAATGTAGGATCCTCTTTATGTCACTAGTTAGAGTATATCTAAACATGTTTAAGAAAACGAAGTATCTACCTGTCCGTTTGTTGGTAATTGGCTTGCCATTCAGACCATTCTAAATTGGCTGCCATATCAAACTAGAACACATTCCTTTCACTGGCATGGAAAGGAAGTAACAATAAAAACCGCGAGTACTAGTTCATAAAAGAAAAGCCCTAATTCTAGACACGTGCCAGTGTGATATCGAAATCTCACACATCTATCTTTGTTGAATATTGCATCATTGAGTTATTTATAATGGCGCTAACAACTTCAGTAGACTTTTTGGCAAACGTTCGTGCAGTGCTAAAGCCGGAGAGCGTTAAAAGCACCTTGAAGGCCACAGCTGACACGGCCGCATTTTCTGGGCCTTAATCCCTTCATATAGGTGCTTTCAGCGTTCCTGGGTTCGTATTTACCGATCCTTCGGGAGAAGGGATCTTTTCCAGGGCGGGCCCCGGACACGAAGCGACTATCGGGGCGCGCCGACCAGACAGCTTTGGTCTTCATTTGCATGTCCCCTAGGCGCCGTCCCGTGGGTTATGGCGATTTGACGCGTTGCTGAAGTACAGTATGTTTCCCGCCAACCTGACTGATTGTCACAGTTTTGTAACCATAGCGAATTGGACAGGAAAGGCTCTCCGTGCTAGAAAGAAGCCCTTTTTGACCACCCTATTAAAGTTACTTGTCCCTTGACTACAATCCATCGCATCATTAATATGACTATGTTTCTACATCAACTTTTTTTCGGCATTAATTTCCCTGAAGTTAGCATATACATACCATGCACATGTAGCTTGAACTGCACATTGCCATTGGTGGCTGCAGCCCGTCCGTAGTTGGTGAAATTACCATGTGACATAGGAAGTAAACTGAGGAAAGCTCTTTCCTGGCCACAAGATGCAAACCCACCATACCTACTGCAGTTTCTGTCTCTTGGTACAAAGAACTACTCACCGGTTTGTTGTTCTCGGGTAGTCCCAGGGAGTCCGAAAGAACCCAAACTTTTCCACGCGAAAAAAGGGAACCAATATAGTATCGCGGACAGGTAGTGTAGTCAGAACTGGTAGCGTGGTTTTCTAAATCCATTGGTCTCTCCTGGTTGGTCCGACTGCAGACCAGATACATCACGAATCCGTTCTCACTTCGGACCACAAGTTGATGTCGATCGTGCACTAGACTTGTAGAGACGATCATTCTCTGTCTTTCTTTCTCCCAGGTACAGTATTCAGTAAGTCGGGCAGACATGATGATGATGAGTTGCACTCTTTGATGCACAGATTAACTCGACAGAAACGAACGTATAAACCGAAGTCAGCATGAGCAAATATTCTATGTAGACCACCATTCCGGCACCTTGGTTTCTTCTGTACAAGTCTCGCCCAAAATGTCTCCAAGACGGAAAGGCCTGTATTTAGAAGAGATAAACTCTAGCCGCCCGCATGTGAGCTTTGCCAACCTACGAGTTCTGCCTGGGAAGAGCTGGATGAATATGTTTGGGAGTTGCCTTAGCGGATTTGTCAGCATCTAATCTGCTGTATTTTGAGTTTGTTGCATTTCAAGCCTACATAAGAAGTGGATATTCATGGGCCCATGTTGGCTTGCGTGTGGAGGGGATATAATGGTAGGGAGCAGGTGGTTGGAGCGATGCTTGGTGACTTTAAAAGGTGTTATGTGCAAACCTGTCGTTCTTGTGCTGGCGGGGTATGCGCTATTTATGGCGAGTTGCTCTATATATAAAGGGTCCATATAAAGTTATGAATGTGGTATGTGCCTTACATAACGTGTCCCCCTCTCACCGCTCCTCCATTATATATGGTTTCAACCTCTCCCCTTCCTCAGAAGACGAGGCAGGGAGAGAAAGAGAGGGTTTCGCAGAATTGAGGGATCAGTCAAAGACTTCTTTCTTCCGATGTCGTTTCTATCGTCGGCCTGTCGGTTTTTGTAGGGAATACCACCAACCTGTTACCGTTACGCCCTTTGACTACAAAAACACGGGCCTTCGTCATAACTGACGTCCCCTCTTACTTTGTTGTGTTTGGCCTTTCAGAACAAATGCACGTACAGTGCATCTTTTCTCACAAGACAGCTTTGCTAACGTCCATGCACAGTTTGTTTGTTCTTCGCAAAATGCCGACAGGTCGGATGACAGGCTTCGGGGCGCTAATTAAAAAGTCCCACCTCTTGTATGTACAAGCGCTTACGACTTACCGGCCTAACTTTGCCGCTTTCTCACGTGTTGCTGTGGTAACGGAATCCGGTTACCACAACACACGGATTACCCGCGGACAAAAAACGTCGAAATAACGTTCAATGATTCGTGTGGTCCTTTTTTTCGCGGGGAGAATTCAAACCAATGGAGCCGCCCGGTTGCTCGGTAAACACGGAATAACGCCGTCCCCATTGCGTCTCCTTACACGTGTAATCCGGGCACTTAGCGGCGGAGAATACTCGCTCCTGTATTGGACAGGCTTGTTGCCGAGGAATGCCCTGCTTGTGATCTTAACGAACAGTGGTCTGGAAACTTACAGGCGTATTCAATTTCAACCGCATACCTTCGGTAAGTAGAAGTCGGCAAAGTTGAAAGCCCGCATGAGCTTAGGTGCATTCAGGGCACACAGGCCCTCTCCGTGACATTTGTTTTCCATTTGTAAGTTAATATGGGGACCAATTTAACGCCGATTAAGCGTCTACTTCGCTAGATGCCAATGAATGGCAGGGTAGTGGTGGAGAGAAAGGTGTACCGAAGGTCTGCTCTGTCCACAAGCCCGATGTGTACTCTCCTTGACGTGAGTGGCTGACAAAAGGTGTCAGTTCTACTCTCATAATCAAATCAAGTAGACGACCAGGTACTTTTGTTTTGCACACACGGCACGTACTCGCCCATACGTCAGTCTGTACAGGTGTTGAGAGGTCGGGCTGTACTGATGGAAGTCTGACAGGTGAGCTGGGCTGTCTCAGGTACGTACCTGCCGGCCTCATCCAAAATCACTTTTCATCCTTGAAATTGAAGGGAATGATTTTTTTCTTTAAAAAACAAAAAAGAACAGATCAAAGGAAAAAAGTGATAACTTGAATTGACCTCGACATTTTTGGACATCAAATATTGAAATTTCCCATCAGACAGGGTGATGTGATTCTGTAACGTTTGTTAGGTACATGCGCGGGAAACTGCGGCATGAGGTCTTTTTTCAGAATCCACGAAGACTATCCCTCATAAACCCATTTACTTGAAGACAAATTCGCTCCAGATCCGCTTTGCCTACAAACTAAATGCAAAAGTTCCGCTGTGCGCGCCTGACACGTGAAATGCTCCTAAGGTCACCACGAATTTGTTATTTTTGTTTCTCCGCGCCAGAAAACCACTGTTGTTAGAGATGATCGAATTATCCCTCCATGATACTTAAGCGTCAAGTGATCCATTTGACAACCTGCGCGACAAATTTGTCTGATTAGCGACAGGGAGCTCAGGAATCCGATTTCTCCTCCCCCGTAACGTTTACCGTAATCTCCTCGCGCGAAAACGTCGCCTTGTTTTGCTTACCGTACATTCGGTACTTACAAGTAAGCCCTGCACGCTACAGTGGGACACAGCATCTGTGCTGACTACAGCGATGAAAGTCTGGCATGTACACGGCACAAGAGAAGTCTTACTGGCTTTCTCTTTAATATGTTCTGCCCAAAATAATATTTTGCTTTTTTTTTTAACGCGCAGACGGTCAAACCTTGCCACTACCGTTCGTGTTCGCAACTTTTGCTTTGTTTGATAGTGGACCTGTGTGATCCTGTGTGGCGGTCTCGTATTTCTAAAAAGATGAACCCTAAACATTTAGTCGAATAATATCAGGGCGTAACGATTTTACCAAATTCTGATACATTCAGTACAGCTTGGTGTCCGATGGCTTTAAAAGAGACATGGATTTTCTCGTCTTACATATATCGTTTAGTCTACCTACTCTAACGTGTATATCGCTACCAGAATGCTGAGTGAGCGTTGTTTTGCCCTGACATTCAGTATTGTAGCTTTTATGTTCACTCCCAAACCTTTACGTTATCCCTATCCGAGGCGAGTTCCCTTTGAATCTCTCAGATACCGATTTCGCACGGTATTGTGGAGGACAGTAAGGCTGTCAAATTTGCTATTTGTACGCAGACTTCACGCCTGGAGATCGTCTTCTAGACTTAATGTCGACACAAAGTTCCTTGTATTAGCTGGTGCATTCCTGGCGACTCGGTGGTTAGAACCCATTGTAGTCCCCCACCTGTGCAATCTGCAGTCTCTTCCTGCCGTGCCCTCCCAGATCTAGTCATGTTTCGTTGCACTCGTTAAATATCCGTTCTCGGAAATCGTTCGGTGAATCTCCCATCTTTATTTACATTTAAAACATTGTGACCGAGACCTATACAACAGACGCACCTTGTTACAGACAGAAGAACGGTAGGTTAATGGACCAGTTGTTGAAAGAACAGTTAGGTTTTCCTTCAGCGGCGAGTCCTCAAACCTAGTGCAAAATACACTCATTTCAAGTCAGTCATTGTGATACTTAAATCCTCACACTGGCTGACAGACATCGTAGTGTGAGTTAGCACCTTGCCTAGGTCTGTAGTCCAAAGGCGAATTACCCAAATTAATATCTTATTACCTCACATCTATTTCACTCCTTCTCTCATGACTGGACCACCGATGTGTTGTGACAGATGCACGTTTCGCGTGGTGGCGCTTTGCTGGCATCTTTCTCGACTCTAAAGCTGTATTGTATTCAACGTAACGTTTTCGTTATCATATTGTCCCATTTCATGTGGGAAAACATGTCTGTTGTACGCATGTTTGTGTGTTTCAGGTGTATTGTGTATTCGTATCTTTTACATTTTCCACGTTTCACAAGTTCGATTACTGCATTTCAAGTACCATAAAGACTGTTTGGGAAAAGTATCCTTTAGAATACATGTTCTTTTTTTCATGTTTATCTTGCAGAAATAAAATAGACGGCGAACTTCCTCTCGCTTATATTCACTTATATTCCATGATCCAGCGCACGTGATATGATAGAAATTCCTTTCCTTGGCTGTAAACATACATTCTCCAATGCTATGGTTTCCGTGGTCGTGCAAAACCCTTGAGTAATGATACAGCAATGTTTTGTTACACGTTGTAAACAATGTGCATCACCATCTCCCGCATTCTGATCTAGAGTGGACAACGTTTCACAGCGTTCCACGGCCGAACGTTAGGCGAGATATACGTAGTATTTATCTGGACATATATGTATGGTTCACAATGGTGTTTTGGTAGTGAAGTAACCAAATGTAGACGTAGTATGGTTGTATATCTATGTCCAGCTGGAGTAGGTTGGTAATGTGTTGTTTTGCGGGGTGCTTGGAGGAGTAAAACTCCATATCGGATATTTCAAAGTTGGCGCGTCCGTGGTGTACCCTGTACAAATCCCCGTCTCCTCACAGCCGAGACCTGGCTCGGGTGATCCCGGTCGTCATTCGTGTTCGCGGGCAGAACGGTCCTGTGCAGGTCCGTGGCGAGTGTGTGGTTTGTGCGCGATGATCTCCGCTCGGTGCCATGACATGGCGAGAAAGCCGGTCCAGGTAATCCCCAGGATTTAGACAAGTCGAAGTGTTTTGATTTCTGCGGACGGACGGACGGACGGGATGTCCGCTGACCACGCGGACGGGAGATGCGGTCTGATGTCCGAAACACTGCCGGGTGACGCACTGATCCTGTCCGAGCCCAACAATCCATCAAAGGAACTAACTTTTAGCATTGGTCATTGCAGCTGCGGTGGCAAGGCCCTGAGCAAATGTGGCAATCCCAAAGTGGCCGCTACTGAAGTCTGAAGCCGTATCGGATCGTTTCCTTAAAAACATTTGACAGTATGTGTCCATCCGACCGTGAACGACAATCCTCACTTTTGTAGCCCAGATTCTCTGCATATTAAACCCAATAGTAGATCTCACATTGTTTTCAGGATGTGCATACAGTTGTTAGCAATGCCACAGGCAATGCCGCTAGCTCTGCCTTCCTCCTTTGTCCCGTGTTTAAACAGCGCCTATCCGATTAGAAGAACTTTACATTCGGGTAGACGCATTGCATAAAATTCCCATTTATCTTCATTAAGGGTGCCCGTTTATTTGACTGTTTTGACAAACGCAAGAGGCTGACTTTATAAACTTCTTTTAATTTTATTGACCCGGCTGTGCCCGAGGCGCGTGCGGGCCCGGTGTCATTAATCTTGGCGGTGTTCAGGGCCGGTTAGCTCGGGCGGACCGTGAAATAAGCGCGCGGTGAGCCGAGCGGACTGCGGGAAACAGATAGGCTTCATCCGCGCCGTCAGCACCCATTGCCGCTAATGCAGCCCGCTTTATCACCCCCCAGGCGCAAACGAGGTGAGCACCTCGATAGAGACGGTATTGAATAAAACGCCATATCAGAATTCCCCATCGCCAAATTATTAGGCAGGTAGCGGGCATTCAAGTAATTGATTCCGCCAGCCAAGCGGGTCCTCGGCTGGCATGCGTCTTCCCCGGCAACGGCCAGTCCCGCCGAAAACCTCCGCCGCTGAGAGCTGCACCCCGTCTTGGTGTCTCGTCGGTCCCCATGTTTACGTGGGTGTTCCGTCTGTCTCCGCAAGCATTGTGTGTTTTACTCACAGAAAGAAATAACAAAATATCTCAAGATCACAGCGAAACCACTTTTAACGCTGGAAATACACACCTAACTTTGTTGAATCGAGAGGCAAACCTAACAAGTTTATAGGACATGTATAATGGTGAAAATGGAACAACCCGTGACTTGTCCAGAGTCTCTACGGACGTATTGTCTGTACAGCTCGGTATGGAGGGACGGAAGACGCTCAAGAAGTACAGAAGTGGTTATGCATAGACGCTGAGCAAACCTTGTTCGGCTTTTCTACACAGCACGGCATGTCCTCCAGCTTTGTTTTGTCCCATCTACTCTGCTAGCTTATCTGACGAATCGATCACTCCTACACGGTGTGCACGCCTAATTGTTGGCACTTGTTGACGGCAGTTTATTAATTATCAACACTGGAGATGGTGCTAAGGCGACGACAGAGGGAGGGGGGCTGTTCATATAGTTCTGCGTTGAGTGGCGGGAGGGTGACCCTCGGGAGTGTAAGGGGCATCGCCAAATGCCAAGCTTTTGTTCGCAGCATGTGTCATATGGAAATGTCCAACTTCGGAGGAACACACGCCTGGTTTCTCACCCAAAAGTTGCAAGCAAAACCACTCCTACTAAACCGATGGAAAGCACAAAACATCCGACGGAAAAATCAGGCACTGAAACTCATTAACTAAATCCACATTGAATCCACATTGTTTTTATGTTGATTGATAAGGAGGAGAAGTCCATCGCCGGGGAGGTCCGATCATTATGTTCTATTTTGTCTCTATGGGACACCCTATAATGTGAAAAAAAGCACACGCGTCAGTGAAGTGAAACAATAGGATTTTGATTAGAATAAATCTCTGCCGTAAAGGTTTCTCCTCCCCGACTATTTAAGACATATCAATATCAATAACCCTGCAGGGTAAGTCGTATGAAGTCGCTAATTGCATTTTGATACAGAGGAAGACTGCTGTGCTTATTGTGATCATGTTCTTCCTGTGAGATGCTACTGCATGTGCTGGATAGAACTATGTTATAAGTAGAGGCACGCAGGAATAGAGCAAGGCACGTGTTGGGAACTAGACATCTCAGAATGTGTGCGCGTAGACATGAGTAGTGAAGACAGTTTCCCCGTACTTTGCGATATATTATTTGATCGAAATGTGCTTATAAATGCATTTATTAGTTCTGTATCGCCGGACACAAACAATGACAGGGCGAACGTCTGCAATGCAATATGCTAGAAGTTTCCTGCTAAAATATTTCCCCCGTTTTTGGAAACATAATCAACAAAAATTCAGAAATTCCATGCCGCTATCTCTACCGGCAGTAATAAATATTTGATTGTGCACCCTAAGAAATATGACTGTCAAGGGGTGTAAAGTTGAAGGAAAAATTTATTGATGATAGTAAATGTGATGTACCGCACAATCATCGCGTAACAGCGGCTCTCTGGCGAGCAGCAAAACGACCGGTTTTTGTGTACTATCTCTGTGAAGAGATTTTCTTGACCAGAGGCCGTGGACGGTCGATGCGAAGCATGTCGGCCCGGGAGCGCCTGTTTGCCGAGCCGCTAGAGTTGGCGGGATCTGTACGGGGCCGCCACGCTGGGACGTGCGCGCACAAAAGACAGGGGGCCGCGAGCTCCCGTTCCGATCGATCGCTGCTGCTGAAAGGAATGAAATGGAGGGAAACCGGGGCAAGAAAAGAGTTCGTGAAGAGAATAAATTCCCTACAACAGGTCACCGGGCTGAGATGTTCGGTGTCAGAAGTGATGATACGGGTTACATCTAACGAAAAAATTGTCAGGACCCAAGAAGCAAATACATGGAGTTTATTTTCCTCGTAACGCGATGAAAATAAGAGCTACAATTATCAGTAGGGAAACCGCTCTACTAGATTTTAAAAACATCGACTTCTTTCTTGAAATTCGTTTAATTTCAGCTAGATTTCAGCACAGAAATATGCAAAATACTGAAAAAGACAACAATCACAGGAGGATTATGACTGCGATAGAGATACTTTTCGAAAGACTAGGTAATGAAAATACTGACAAATATACATAGACATATTTCAACATCTTACCTACAAAGGATGGTACTTAATTGCTGATTCATCATTATTAGATAATAAAGATTACCGTTCGGTATTGATTATTTCGTCAATGGGTTTTCCATCTTTCAAGCCCTTTTGTGTATCTTTGTTTATAAATTACTAAGCACCATTCCTATTGCATTTCTAAAAATAAATATAAAGTGATGTAAAAAAAGATGAAAGTGTGCAGGAAAAAAGTCGTAAAACTGAATGAAGTCGGGATGAAATAGTGAAGATTTGTTGCTGATTCCCATGGGCGACAGCGACGAACCATTTCACTTTATTGCTACGGCTCCCTTACGGAGACGAAATTGCTTCCTCGCGTGATGTCTCTTCTGGCCAACTATAAAACTATACATTAACATACTAGTCCCATATTGTATTAGCAGTAAACTTGCTTTACTGTTCCGACGAGCAACCTTATACTTCCAAAGATAACGTATTTGGTACCGGTTAGCTGACGGAAAGACATAAATCGTCCGAACGCAAGAGTAACATCTCACGGCAAAGCTTGTCAGCGCCAGCGATTCCGCACTAAGAGTTTCTTTCAGCATCTCGACAGCCTAGTGTTTCAACCCTTTGAATTTGGGCGCATTGTTATCTACCCCGTTGGAAAGCAAGAAAAGGCTCAGTCTGACATGAATAGCTTCAATAAGATGGGAACAATAGAGTCAAAATGCACTGCATATCAACACAGAACACACAAATATGACGTCATTGGAATATGCGGTTATCGCCGCATCACACGACGGGAACTTTGTTCGTTCCCGCGAGCTGTCAGTCACTTGTCGGCGGTGAGGGCCGTGTGGTGCATGGCAGGCGGCAAGCGATAAGAACCCACACAGTAGGCGCGATAGGAATCTCCAATTGCCAAAATGTTTTCCAAAACAACTAATTACATTCCAATTAGTGGAAAATAACTCACATTATGCCCGGGAGACTTTGTCGGCGATAAGCGGACCCAATTTGTCCACTTGGTTCCGCCTTGTGGGGCGAGCACGATTTTCTGCATTCTCGTGAAACATTCACAAGAGGAAAATTATCAACGACCACTCTACTCCCTTTTTTTGCTCGGAGTAGGCTGTCCTGTGTGGACGCCCATCGCCCCTGCTGCTAGGTGGGGGTTCAATTTATGCTGCACGTCGGGTAGCGGGACAAAAAGCCTCCATCACCGATTCAAGGGTGGTTTTCCACTGCCGTGCCCCCAACAAACCCTTTTTCAAGACACACTGCCAATCTTCTTTTGATGAGCTTCTGTGCAGTTAGTAAAACCGCCCTGACACCCATGGCCTCGGAATTTGGTTTTTCCTGGGTCGGCCCCTGAATGTTGGCTGTGTGCAGGGAAGCCCTATCTGTGCATGTAAGCCGACTTGATCCTCCAATCGTCAGAAGTAGTTCTATGGTGTATCTTAATTGCATTAGCAACTGTGCTACAAGAGGATAAGTAAGAAGTATCATCGAAACCTCCCAAACATCAAGGTATCTCTGTAATTGGACCTTAAATAGATGAAGAGCGCTTCCTCCTGGAAAAACTGACAGAAGGTCTGGCCCCATTGAGAAGGCCCCCTTTATGTTATTTTGCTGTGTGAAAAGTGCAAACAGGCCAGGTCTATTCTCATGGAAATTATGACGGAGGGGGATTTGTGGAAACTTGTGCTCGGTTTCCATTCTTGCCGCTCCCTGGTTGAAAAGCGGTCATCTGAATAACAGTTGGTCCCCTTTCCTATCCCGGAAAATAAAAGAAATCTTTCCCACTTTGTAAAAAAAAAAAAAAAAAAAACGTGCGTGGTGTAACACCAAACTTTCACATGGAAGTTATTGACATCTTGAGTAACTAAACAAAAGAACATGCGGAATGTTCCGCTTCAATCACGTAGTGTTGGACATTCCATGCGCTTCCCAAGAGAAGACACGTCTACAACATACACAATAGTAAACAGGCCCTTTTCGACAGCCTGAAAGTTTTAGTAACTTCTGTTCTTCCGCAAATGGCCACCAAATTTTGTGTACGTGGTTATTTCCAAGAAACGATCGAATGGTTGATGATAATAACGCAAGCTGATATCTGTACGTTACCAATCTGTAAGCCAATTACTGAATGTACTTTTGCAGCTCCTCTCTGAGCTGGCCCCTAAAATTGCGGAGTGATACAATGTTTTGTTGGCTGTCAGAGAATTCTAAAGGCGCGAGCGGTGATTGGTCCGGGGGTGCGGTGCGTGAGGAGCTTAGCCACAATGCTATTATGTTGGCACAGTGCAGTCCAAGCCTAAGCGTGTGAAGGTGATCAATCACAATCATTTTCGCATTTACAAGACGTAAAGCTCGTCTTTTACAAGGTTAAGCCTTGTTTTAGCTTTGGCTTAGGCTTTCAATTATCCATTCAACTGTGTTGTGGTGTCCAGGACAGCGATGTGTAGTTGTGTCGCCGTCCGTTCCCGTCCAAGTCCCGGTGACTTACCGAGTATTTCTTCTATTATGTCCCTGTACAGGAGTCGCTGCCGGCCGAGGAAAGTCCACTTGCCGCTGACAGGACCACGAACCGTTCATTCACGCCTAGCAGGTGGGTGCCTTGTTCCTGTCTTTCCCTGATTGATGGTTTTTAGGTGAACCTGCCGAAAACGATGAAAACTCAGCAAAAGAGGCCGAAATTGCGCGTTCTGGGTCGACAAACGCCGGGCACCCTTTGCCAACTTACACTGTGGTTACATTCCTATATAGGACACGGCCAGAAAACTCTAAAAACCTTTCAATGTCGCTAATATCGATGGTTGATGCGACCAACCTGCCACACTGGTCACCTCAGCCCACAGGTTGTTTATCCAAATGCAGAATAGTTGACCTGAAACATGCACACAAACGTGGGGCCAAGTCGGCAGAATCGACTGCGACTTACGTTGTTTTGCCACACTCATGTCCGAGATCCGCACTCTCTCAGGAACAGCGCGAACATGTCATTATACTGACTTTTCATGACAACATCCACCATGTTTCTGAGAGGCAGAGATCGTCCCATGTCAGTGTGAATCATACACGGTCCACAATAACGAGAGAAATAATATTTGAAGTTCTCATGGTTGAGAGAAAGTGGTTCACGCGAGAAGACAAGGCCGAAAATTGTGCCCCGGCCCACTCGTGCTGAAGCCTCACAGAAACACACAGGAAACCGGGCTGTGTGGTGTTGTCAAATTGAGTAGGCGTGGAAAAATAACGACAGTTCACACCTTATACCATTCATGTTAATGAACATGATAAATTTACAAGAATGTGATAATTACCCGAAATCTGTTCTGTTGTTTGTGGTGTATTTGCAGGCAGTTATTTTGCCATTGTTTGACAATTGGTCCAGGGAGTGGGAACACGTATACGAACGTGTACATTATATGGGAGAAGTACAGTCTGCTCACAGAACGCACAACTCGAACCGGTAGCTGTTTCAAATTTGTAAGGATTTGTGAGTTAATCTAGAAAGCAAACCTCGGTCAGAAGATGTTAATTGAGTCCCGCTAAATGCTACTGCCAGCTGACGGTTTTCTCGGATTTCCATAATCTGGAGTTTTGGGGCCTCTCGGCACGCCTCTGTCCACTATCCCCGACCTGAAAATTCAGTGTATTGTGCTGAACCAGAACGTGTAGTAAGTTAGAAATTGTACACACATTAGAATCACATTTACAGCCACGAAAGCGCATGAACATTGCCGCCCATAAGCCAGCAGAGCGCTGACTTGGATACGCACGTCCGAACCATTTATGCGTTATCATTTGATATTTTCAGTTTTTTCTACTGCCAACACTTTAAATGCAGCTATTCAAAGACAGATTAGTTCCGAAAAAATTTTGAACAGACCAGCCTTTATGGGCACAGCGATTATGCTAGTGATATTACAATCTTTCACTGTGCAAAGATGCATAACTTTCGTGAGTAGCTTCCCTGTAACAAATTTACGATTTCAACATAATAGTACTATTTCAACGTAATGTATTTTTACTACACAAAACGAAAAAAAAGAAAACAATTTTAGTCATTGAATGATATCCTGAACAAGTTGTTTGGTTCAATTGCCAGCAGCGGGAACATTATGGCATCGATATGCTGGTGCAAATTGGGTTTGAATAAACAGCAAAGACGAGACCCTCGCGGGAGACCAAATGTACACTTCCTGGTCAGAAGAGCCCTGTATTTCGCTTTACCATACTGTGAAAACAGTTTCTGTGTCTGTAACAGCATTTCCTGCGACCAGAACTATCCCCTGCACTATGTATAGCGTGACTCTCACTGTCTGCACATGGGACCCGCCATTACCAACCAATTCATGGATAATAGAAAATTAAATACACAGTCTGTTTATGTGCGTTGCATGATTTGGCGATGTCATTACAAGTGCCTGGTGTGTTCCTATTCCCCACAGTGTCGCACATGATAATGTATGAAGCGTGTGATATATGCTGTGTCGTGTAGGCAGTTCAAACTCTTCTTTCCATCTAAAATTTTTAACGGCAAAAGAGGAAACTGTTTGTCTGAAAACCGCTGCAATTTTCTTGCCTTCAGTTGTTGTCGTGAAGTGCCGCCCTGGTGTAAACATGGCGAATTTAAGAGCGACATGGTAACAAACATAAACCACTGTAATTACCTCATTTCTGCTTTGTTGATTAACGGACATCCTCCACGGGACTTGTTCGTTGAACAAATCAACAATTTGCTCCACACAGACGGATGATATGACTTGCACTGAAAATACAAAAAAAAATCGCACTAAAAACAGGTTAAACCTGTGATTCTGCTTTATCCAATACTCTCACAAATAAAGTAGCAGCCGGCTCTGTGATGCCGTTTACAAGCATAAGCACTAGACATACACCTAATGCTGCGAAATTGTGACAAACTAGACAAAATAACGTGTGGACATATATTTAACCGCAATGGCGGCGCACCTCGCCACCGACTGAATTCTGACGGTCTTTCGCCATTTTTACATTGACGTTTGGAAGTTCATTTGTTTGCACTTTGTAGTTATTTGCGAACGTGTGTAGTGGTCGCAATGTTACACCAATGTGTACATCAAGGGCACGCACTCAAACGAGGGAAGAATAACGGGGCTTTCCTGCTCTTGTGGCTGAAATTACACGCCGTGTGTGGTGACGTGTGTGTAGGAATGTTGGTGCTCACAGTCGGGCTTCTAGCTACATTTCTCGTTTCCCGAGGTTGAACGGTTTCGCATCAGTCCTTAAGATGAAAGTACCTGCGTATTATAGTAAAGAATATGCAGCATATGATACAAACTGCATCATGTCGGAAATTGTAGTTCGTAATGGTGGAAGCAAAGAAGAAGTGTTGTTTTCTTCACAACTTAGTCGTGCGATCAGAACTCGTTGCTTCTTTTTGTGCCGAATAGAAACATGAACAGGTTGAAATCATAGGCAAAATTTAGATTTTCATCAGTCAGGAGACTTTATATTCCAGTTGCACAGGGACAATCACGAAAATGCAGATAAACCGGGTACTTTGTTTGTGGCTCACAAAAGCCCGTCCTCGTTGTTGAGTCGCTGTGTATGGGGTGTCGGTGGTTCTAACCCGCGGGGTCACGCCGGCCCTGATCCCGCCGAACAAAACTCTGTTTCATGCATCCCGGTAATCATGTTATGCACGTACGAACGGGCTCTACTCAACTGAGAGTGGAAACATCCCACTTCTCTCATCACGGCTATGGACGTCTAAATCTGCCCATTGTGGCACCACCGTCAGCAGACATCAATGAGGACTAACTAACTTCATGTCAGTAATTCCCCGTCCGACGACGACGTCGCGCTGCCCAGAAACAGTAGCGCTGCGGGGCTGGAGATGCGCACACCGCGCAGGGGGAGCAGGAGCGCCCACTGCCTACATCAACACCCAGCGGTTACTTATGCCCAAATTGCCGTAACAATCAAATCGAAATAAGGCTAACAACCTCTGTCCACGGAGGCGACAGCGTTCAGTTCTTCGTTGTGTCTTTCCGGCCATGCAATCAGTGCTTTATGAGACAGTTATCAGGAACATCTGTTAAGTATTTAACAATTTAAGGTTGCCTCAAAGGCCTTCAGCAAGACAGTTGTGACGAAAGACAGTGACTTGAGTATGTTGTTGCGATTATGCCCGCGTGGCTTACCTTTTAAACAAAAGGGAGAAAAGGCATCCGTTCAACGACCATGTCTGCAAGTAGTTAACACACAGTACATCATTAGTACATCTTAACGGAAGTTATAAAAGCATAAATGGACTTGGCAAGCCTTGAGAAGCGGGATATGTACTATATGGGATGTGACTTTTGTTAGAAATATACCATAGGATAATTCTGTTAACATTGGTGTAACAAAACGGCGAACACTGATTGGTGGGGCAGAGAAAAATGATCTACATTTGGCGGCAAGGGAGGACAGTGGCTGCATCAGAAACCAGTGAAATTTGAATTGATATAGTTTGAATTTCTATAACATAAACTGCATGTTCCGTGCATGATAATGGGCTACTATAAGATCTTGTTTTTTCATCATGCCGTTGCGGCGGTTTCAGTCATGATTTTTTCGCTACGTTTTAAACAAAGGCCCGTGAGAATATTTCAAGAATCCTTCTCCTGTTGACAGAAAGTTTCTGAACCTGTGATGTAAAAGTCTAAAACCACCTAACCTTGAGGCCATGCCACTGCGTTTTTACTGCGCAAGTCCGGGCTGCACCTGGCCGGGGCTGGCTGACACCCGGGCGGCACCCAGGAAATTCTGGCCATTATCAGCCCCATCCACCATAACAAGGCTTGACACGCCATTTCTCGTGTTTCCTGAGAACTTATCACTTATTTATCCCTTATTTCATCGCCTAACTCGGGGTAATGAAAAGCAGAAGAATTCTATTCCCCACTACTGGTAAACAACCTTGATTGCAACGCCATTCGGCCGAGGTTGAAATTGAACGTTCCGGGAACGACTATCGGAACTTTGTCCCGCCAAACTTTCCCGAGAAAGGTCCTTAGTTGCTATCACTGGAAATTGACATTGACTGTAATAACCGTAATTAATCTCACAAACAGGGGATATTTGATGCACTGAAATACGGCGTTTTGATGTTGACAAATGCGAAGCTACATTCTGCATGGTGCAACCTGTACTAAATAGTCTTCTTAATGCCCGTCCCAGGCGCGCCCCCAATATGTGTTAATTATCCCCATTGACCCCCAATACGACTAGTTTGAATTCTCCTCCTGATAACAAGTGCCCCCTGGCGCGTTCATTTTCTATCGGACATTTTTAACATTCCTGATTCAAGTGCTTCCATCTATATTTTGACTGACGCTCGTTTCTGTGTGTTCATTGCGGTTCTTGACGGCAGTATCTCATCTGTACCTTTGGTCATGCCAACTTTTTATGTCCAAGATTATCTCTAACTTTCGTCGGTGTCGCTGTGATGGAATATAATGATCAAAAAACAAACATGATGATTACATGATATGCCGTATGATCATTTGCCATTGTATTTCACTTATTAAAATGATAACAGTCATTGGCGTATACTAGTAAAGTGTTTATTTGAATTACTATCATTATTGTTTTGAAATAGAGAAAAGTGGCTATTACTACAGACCGCACTTTTTAAAGAATATTGGCAGAGAAGAGTCTTTTATTCAGGACGAGTTTCTGTTGCGGGCGACATGCCTATGTACCCCGGCGCCATCAATAGACTACATATGTGACAGGATATATTAACCAAAGTCAATAGTTTCCTGACAGTTTGGGTAGACTTTAACCTTCAATTTCTATGAGTTATGGGGATTAGCAAATTGCCGTTCAGGTACATCTATTGTGCGTGAGTGACGGAAATTTTATTTCACCCCGTGCTCGTTAGAAAGCCGTCTCTTGTATGGCTGTGTTGAGTGGCATATCAGTGTGTTGGGGGATGATAATTCTCCAAATTGCATTAGCGGTCTCGCAAATTCACGGCGCTCGCCGGCGCACTTCAATCTCCCGGCTATCAGACGCACACAGCCCAGGATTGGCGCCGTTATCGGGCGCGCGATCGCGGATGTTTCCAGTGCGATAGGTTTGTGTTGCGCGGCAGTACCGACCGCACAATGCGGGCAAATTATCTGCGATTACACGCCTGGCATGGGGTACGTCCGGGGGCCCGCCGCTGAGTGCTCACACGAGAAATGGACTGGACGGAAATATTCAGTATGTTCTAATCAATTTCCAATTCGGGAAAAACGATGGGGTTATTATATCGTAACAGTGGCGCGCGACCGCTCGGTGTTGGAACGGCCGATAGCGGGATGTGTCTCAAAATGGATTGTGACGGGCGTGCAGCGATAGCGGGCCGCTCGCTACGCCCACTCCATCGTAGCAAAAACGACGTTACGATTTATACTAACGTATACTTTTAAAACTGGTGCATTTATCAAATTCTGGGGAAAGTTTGGCAAGCGAAACACCGTCTCAAAATCGTTGTCAGACTCAGAGCCAAGACTTCTATCGCCAGTGTGATGCTTTTGCTTTGCTAGAAGCTGAGTTCTTCCCTTCCCAAGTTATATGCATAATTCTATAATCACCAGAGGATTGAATTTCCAGTAAACACACAAACGTGGGGGACTGACAAGTGATTGGCCTACACTTGGACGTGCTTCTCCCCGTGTTGGAGACTGACAATGGTGGGAGAAGTCGCGCGGTCTGGCAGAAAGGTAGATATATCACAGTTCGGCTAGCATACCTTTACAGTGATAGCTGATTCAAAGAGAATCTAACGCCAGAGGGACAGCACACAGAACAAAAAAATGAAAAGTGTCTTCATATCAACGAACTTGACGGATTCAGAATTTCGTAATGGCAACTGTCTTTCGCTGACTTTTCCTTTGGAAATATGTTCAAACGTTGTTAAATGGAAGCCCTTTTGTTGACCAAAAGTTGGTGCCCAAATTCCTGATGCACGTTTTTGGCAACCATACAAAGGCGACAGTTTGAAGTTGTCGGAGGTCATCTATTTTGGGTAAATCTCATAAAAATGCATTTTCCCAATTCTTTGAGTTTGTCATCAACACTCTTGGCAGAAGCTAGAAATGCATGTCGGGCCGATGGGTCAAGACAGAAGCTAGGCACTTCAGACAAGCACTGGAACATTATGTTGGTACATAGCACAAGTAATGTACGAACCATTGGCAAACCCGTTTAAACCCGCTCTCTTACTATTTTTTCTAGCACAACTAATTTATTAAGTTACATATGTATTTTGCCTGGCCGCTCCCATCAACGTTCAACTGTGTACGTAAAGAGTGGATCACATACTGTATCTAAGAGGCTTCGGTCTCCTTTCGCGCCGTCAACGTGATTAAAATATAAGGTGGTTGTACAGGTGATAACCAGGGGCTAGCGCTCCGGATGCTCCCCGGTGTAGATCACCTGATTAACTGCCAAGGAAAATCAGCAATGATAGCCATTTCTGTTGTAAGCAAACTGAGAGAGCGACGGGAGGATATCCCGATAGCTGACATATCTCAGGCAGTGGTTGACGCGGGCCAAGTAAAAAGTAGTAAATTTCAGGAGTTCAAAAACCTTTCAAACTTTGTTAAAAAAATATTCGTCAGCACTTCCACAAACACAATTATATTCACAAATTGATTTCCGATTTCGCAACAAGATTTCTAAATCATTAGAATGATCACGACCCCGAAAGGCAGATAGCTTTGGTAGGGGACACAGTCTGTGGGGAGGTCATTCACAGTGAATAAACCTGACCGGTGTCGACCTACGTGTTCATTATCCTTTCAACGGCAACTTATTCCTTCACAGTAAGGAGAGAGCGTCGTTGCGACAAGTAATTGGGTGGAAAACAGGATCACAAGTTAGCAGAAAGAAAAGAAGTTTTTCCGGTGTTCCCTGATACCCACATGCCACATACTGTTCCCGTAGCCTGATTTATGGCTGGTATTAGTTGCGATATCCACAAAAACGTCATCCAAACGGCCATCTATTCACATTCGCAGCAATGATGAAACCTTAGTTGCATAGATTACATACATCGGTGGTCTGCTTCACCGAAAGTCTGACCAGTTCGGGCGATCATCCTTGTCGACAGTACAGCTCATTATCGTGGATGGTGAGTGCAGGTAGACTAGACAGACTGTGTGGACCGTTATGATACTCCTCTTGACTCTATGATAGGATGAGACGCTCGGCATAAGGACGACTGTTCGGTATCTGTGCCTGTACTATTACGTGTGCTTTGTCTGTTCCGTCTAATCTGATTTGCAAGTCAGGGTCGGCAGGGCCACATAACGTTTCGTATGTCCGAACAATTCAGAGACACAGTTTCCCATTGTACACACGGGTGTCTCGGCTGAAACCTTGTGCTCGGAGTGAGGGCCGTTCCTTTATGGGGCCCCTGCACGTCGCGGCTAATGCGGGGCGACAGTTTGGTGGGCCTTTCAGCCCGCCCGGCCCCCCGACGGGTCCACGGTTGGCCCTTGCCCCCCAGTCTCCCCGGGAGTTTTTGTCTGGCATCTTGGCTGGAATTCTCTCGGTCTGTCCAAGGTGTGAACGTGCAATTAATTAGGCGACCAATCAAGGGGAATAATTAGGCGACAAGATGGGCAGGACAAAACCGGGAACAATGGGTGCTGATTACCCGGAGGGGTGGTTATTCCGTGGAGTGGTCCGTGCATTGTCCCGACACTTCCGAGAGCCAGTTGTTCGTCTAAGGGGAAAAGGAACGGAGGAGCGCATGCATTTTCCTCGACCATTCATCGACACATCGGGTGCTCGCAGCTTTCAAACGAATTCTCCTCGGTCAAGTTCCCAGTGTTTTACAACAACCTCGAAACAGTAGCGGCGACAAGTATACAATACCGCCACACAACACGTATTACCCGCACTGTCTCCTTTGCCCTCTGCTTTTAACGTTGAGTGGCAGTAGCTTATAACCCCACGATTGTGTGCGCAGTCGGGTCCTGGCGGTCGGCCGGTCCTCATGTGTCACAACTGTTTATAAATCAGACACACGTTGCGTTAAGCAGACCCCTTGACATACAAACAGCCGACAAAATCCACCTCAGTGGACAACAAGAGAGCGAGCCACTTTGAGAGAACTGTCTGAAGGATCATAACGCCTTCATGTCCTCATGGACGAAAAAAAAGTGTCAACCCAACCGTCGCCTTGGATAACTACATATCCACATTATTTTACGCACACATATCGATCACATTGAATTAAGTTTTAGAGCGTTCTAGAAGAAAACATGGGTTCACCTCGGTCATTTGGGGATCATTAATTATCTCCCAAAGTTGTGCTAATTAGTGTCAAAGCCCCAAATATCTCCGCCCTATAGTTTAGTGAGCTTAATGCTATTTAACACACTAATGCAGTAGTACTGAAGGGACTTGTGTGCGGTGCGGGCTGGCAGGGATAGCGTGCCCGGCGGCACAAATCACTACATCCGTGTGTCCTTAACATTTACTGTCATGTTTCATTGACTTGAGTAGCTGGTCACGGAACGAGTGGACACTGTGTCACAATACTCTCTCGATGAGTCACTCCTAGAGAGTGGACTGTAAACAGTTGTTTCCTGCAGTGCATTGTTTTCGTATTATTCATACACAATTTCGTCATTTTCCAATTCAATACAGAAACAAACAGGGCGATTCATCCCAGGCGTTACCAAAACTTTCCGCCATCACTCACTCACTCAATCCATCAAGTGATGGTTATCTTTATTTGACAAACTCTGTATACAAACCCAATCAAAGCTTGTCTGATGACAAAGATCGTGTTAGATTGGAAAAAGAACATTGTTTTAGCACGACCGCCTCTGATTGGCCACAGGAGCCCCACCTGCGCAGGCGCAGAGGTACAAAACAAAGTGGGCATTTCCCCTGCTCGGCATTCCGGGTCAGAGAGCTGCACTGGTCAGGCGCACACCTACAACATCCCGTGTTTTCCACTTGTAGATCATCGACAGTTGGAATCAAGATGGCGTACATGAAGTCACCGTACGGTATGAACGGACTCAGTCTGTCTAACCCGAGTATCGACCTGATGACACACCACCACCACCCGGGGGTCGGGGTCAGCCAGTACTACAACCCGACCAGCGCTTACACAGGTGAGCCGTCTTACTATGTACTGTAGAGCTTAGCTTCTGTCGTTGTAGTAAGTGCTCAGAACACTTCCTAATACTTAATTCGTATAGACTGTGAAGAACTACTATGTAAGTTAGTATTTGTGTACAAAAAAAATGCGAAAGTTTGATATTGTATGATACATGCCAGGTAGAGTTAGGTAGAGTAATCCATCGTGTAAAGGTGTCCGGACATAGTAGGTGTTGACCCATGGGATCCGAAAATCAGGATGTTAAAAACTAACAGTTATCTTGTCGTGAAACTTCCTATCCCGAGTTCATACATCGAAACCTCCAACACAATTTCTGTCGTGTAATAATCTTTTAACAAATTGTAATCTGCTGGTATCAGATAAACCTGTATTTGTTGATCAACCTGTAATGCCAACTATTACTTCCTGAGGTGTTCATTTGGACATTGCATTTACTTCACCCGTGCGCGTGGTTCGTAGCTTATGGTTGATTTAGAGTGATTTTCGCTTTTTGTGGTCCCTAAAAATGGTCGCAACGTCAAGTGACTAAAGGTCGATGGTGCCGTAGATTTTTTGTGATAACATTCTCACGACCTGTGTTCTTGGTCTTTTTCGGACAAATTTTGTTTGAAATGTTCACGGTTTTACATCAATGGGATCTTTGGTTCGGGGAAAATGTACACGCTGTAAAAACCAAAGCATACAGAATTTCGAGCCTGCATCAAGACGACCCGTAAAGCTGTTACCATGTGCACTCATTTAAAGCCGGAACTAAACAACAACCAGCTGATTATAGTAAATGCGCGTAGGAAGGTGATTCCGTGTTTTCGCGTCATTCTTGCTTTTTTCCCGCCCAACTCGAGGAGTTCATTTGTTGAAGACATTTACCCCGTCTATAGTACACGTTAGTGCTCAGTGTTCAAAATAAGACGTTAATTTAATGAATGTGGAAAAAAACGAAGGTAAAACATGTATAGATGTAACTGTGCGACTAACTGTGCCACAAATCATGCAAACAACTTGATTTTCAGCTGTTTACTTCTTGCTTGTTAGTTGAAATGCAAATACAAACATTTTTAGAGGAACAAAAACGTCAATCTTCTAAAACCACGTTGTCCCATTTTCGAGTTTATTTTATAATCTTCGGAATGGACAACACAAATACGCTTGACGTACTGTTCACTTTGCTAACAATAGGGACACGCGCTTCTTTGATCTGCAGAAACAGGACTTGAAAGCGTCTTGTTTTCTTCACTGAGTGGTCGAAATTGCAGTAAAAACATACAAAAATTGGCGGAGTAATTCCACCACTCAGGCTTTGTTATGGTTCTGATCTGGAACAAGCGCTGTTTGCTGCAGGTGAAATTAATTTTCCATGTCGCGCAGTTGACCCAGTCACGTAGTGTTCAGGTCCATCTATGTTCTACAACTTGTTACTGATGGGAAAATAATCCGCAATGACAAACACTAATGAAAATATTAGCACTTCGCGTGTGCCCGCTGATAGTTTTATAAGGCTTTCTTCGTCTTCCCCCTCCCATCTGCTCAGTTGTTTTTGTTTTCTGGACAGTAGAACAAAATTAGTCCTAATTATCCCCAGTGTGAAGGAAATGTGACTAGAATGGGAAGTGGGAAACAATGCTATGATTAACTTGACTTCATTCAGTGCTAATTTTATTGGGATATTCCCTCGAAAGGGTAGGCATCCTCCATTTTCCGATACAGAGCAGAACATAGCATTAGCTGGGCGCAGCTACCACTAATAATTAGTGCATGTTGAAACCAGTTTATCCCTTTCTCGTGTTGATAAAAGTTTGGGCCACACACAGCTATGTGATTTTTGCTGTATAAAAATGTTCTTGTTCGTTTTTTTTGTAATTCTTGACAGTATAATTAAAAGTTCGCCTCCCGGTGTGGCAGATGTCAATCAAACCGTGGATGTACTGTCTGTAGACTGTAGTGTGTTGTAATGTGAATACCCAGAGCTCATTTGGTATTCAGTGTTGTGTGAAGTCCTCAATGCGCGCCCACGGTGAACTTGATTAGTGATTTCACGCCGTTTTCATTGCCCCCGCAGGTGCAATGAATGGCCCCAATCAAAAGCCACTCGGCTGCGATAATTGCATACTTATTCTCTACATGTAATAGAAAAGGGAAAGAAAAGAAATAAGTGCAGGCATTTTCTGTATAATGGCCATGGAATATAACGACATTTCTGTTTCCCATTTATAGAGACCACTTTCAAACTTTTCGGCGCTGTACAACATTTGTTTACTTTACTTGTATATTTGGCAATGTAGTGGTAATTGGCAAACTGATTTTCGTGGTTTGTTTATAACCTGTTCTGACCGCCGCTGATTCTGTGGTCACCGTGAAGTAAGGTTTCACACAGTTACCAAAACGACAACGCAATCCTTGTTTTAGATGCTTATTTATACTTATTGTGTGCAAAAAGGTAGTAGCATTCCGCGGAACATGTTCTACATGTACTTCAGTTTGCCTACAAATGTATTCCCCATTCTGACCGTGCGCTTGTCCCCACAGTGACGGGCCAGTGTCCGCCTCCTCCCCGGAAGCAGCGCCGGGAGCGCACGACGTTCACACGGGCTCAGCTGGACGTGCTAGAGGCGCTGTTTGCCAAGACGCGATATCCCGACATCTTCATGCGGGAAGAAGTGGCGCTCAAGATCAACCTTCCGGAGTCTAGAGTACAGGTAAGAGTCTAGTCATAGTCATGTGTCTAATGATTATGGATTTGAATGAGTGTCTCGGATTCCTGGTACATTTTGAATTCCCCAGTTTCTGCTGAAAACAAGCATCAAAGAACACAAATTCAGTCGTGTTTCTAGTGCAAGTACTAGTTACAGTGACGGTGTATAAGTGAATATTATCACATGCATTCCTGTATATATCAAATTCTTGTAGTACTTATCTATATAATTAGCACATTTTGTAGAATGTAATAAATGTTAGAAACAGAATATATATCACGCTGAATATACTAGTACATGTAGGTCACAGAAAGCAATCTGTATAAGCACATCAGTACAAATGTCGCTTTGGCAAATATGATTTGGCGTGTTTCTGAAAACTGAGCAAAAGGTTCTTAGTAATTCTTCAGGTAGCATCATTTCTTTAAACGATTCTCCAGATCTTTTTTTTCAATAGTGAACCATTTTTTCTGTAAACGTCTACGGCCCCTGTTACCTGTGACCCGGTCCGTCCATAACCCATGTTTACCATCTTTCAATCAAACCATTGTCTATAAAGTATAAAGAACATCCTTCCGCGATGTAATTTTCCCATCGAAAGATAAAATCTCTATTTGACGCTGTAATATGGAGATTGGTGTTAGGAGAGTGACATAATTTACCATGGGGTGCCATAAGCACACCGACGTCATTTGCATCCTTATCAGAAAGTGTGTGTTATTTACGAGGAGTTAATGTACCAATATTGGTGTAATCAATTTACCTGCATAGCTACATTTGGTGTCCACCGGGCGATAAAAGGCTTACAGTGATAACGTTCACAGATTACAACAGACATGTGTCTTAATGCCCAGTTCGCTACAAACTATACTACTGGACAAAACGGTACCAAGTGTCCGGACATGACCTACGATAACCCTTACACACAATTAACTACTTGAAACTGAGTCAATCGGGACAATTGTCTGGGAAGTTAGGTTAATCTGAAGTTTTCGGAAGCCGCGGGGCAGCGGAAGTTTTTCCCGTCCACCAGGTAACCACAACCACCCGTGGACACACACCTGCACACGACTCACCTGTACACAGGTGTGCGCCGCAGGTACGGGGCAGGAACATCCGAACTGGCTCAAGCTAATTGTACCAACCAACCTTGGATTAGTTCAGATTGAATGCTTGGTAGTGTAATCCAGAAGGTATAGAAAATATAGTTTATTGTATAGTACGATCAATGAGGTTTAAGACACCTCCTGGTATGATAGTAGATAAAATATTCGCCAAATGGATCCACTGCCATTGTCCCGACAAAACGTAACGACGACGCTGTTATCTTTCATGGACTCAAAAAGTACTTTTCTCTAAACAAAAGAATGTGTGGACGTAGCAGGTGTCCATCGGGATGTGACTCCAGCCTTGGCACTGCATGTCCCCCACACAACTCTCCTGTTCCATATGTTCTTCCCGCTCTCACCACAATATTTCCTGACACAGAAACATGATCACTGAACACACAGGACGACTCCCTCCACACAGTTTGTTCAACACTGACAAACATACGCTGGCATCCGCGCTGGTGTTGTAATAAGACAGGAGTTTCCCCCTCCCTTGTCGTGTAGCCGTGACATGTTTGCACAAGTCTACTGTCCTGTGTTGGCGGTAAAGCCCAGAACCTGATAACGTCTTAATCTGGGCTGCAGGTGTGCAGCTATTGTCTGAAGGAAGGAGTGGGCTCATCAATTAACTGTCTTTCATTCAGTTTTCACTTAACGTTCGTTTGCTTTCGTATTTTAATGAAACTCATACATTGAATCAAGAAAGTCCGATTTTGTTTCGAGCGCGATGATTCTCTACTATTAGTATGTGCCTTCCGGTTAGGGCAGTATTGTTGATCTTTCACTAGCCTTAAATTGATCTGAATTATTCCTTGTACAAATGCAATGAGATTTCGAAATTGGCAGGTTTCAAAAGGTACGCTTCTCTATGATTATGTGCCCAGTTCCATTCCACAGAAAGACAGGTTTTACTGTCCTGTATTGGGGTTTTCCCGACACGCCGTGTGTGTGCTGATGGAAATATGGCGAGAAAGCGTGAAAATGGACAGAGAGAAGATCCGTTTTTGTGTAGAAATGTTTGCGAACGTGTTGTGACGCACCGCGCTTCACAAAGCACCTGTCTCTGCCGTTTCGCTCTGACAAAATTCGTCACAAAAAATCGCGGTCGAGTTTCACACAATATACGATGGGCAAACATTTACCCAGATAAGGATCAGGAATTTTCTTGAAAATCCAACACGTTGGTTTGCTCACACTGCCAAGGCTCAGGGCACCCTGTGGGCAGGCCACAATGGCAGTGTCCAGCTTATCTGGGCAGTGTCAGACAAGTGGACTTTGTTGGTATTTACTGTCCACCAAATGAAAATAACATGCAAATTACTGGATATTGTTTGCAAATTACGACTAACACGTGTCGAGTACTAACCATACAAGGGTGGGAAAATTGACTCTAAATGGGGACCACCTTAACTGACGTAACATTTTATTTACCGCCCTGGGCTTTTTCTGTAACACGGTGGCAGAGGCGCTTTGAATACTATCGTACAAATAACATCGTGATCAGGGCAAAACCGTCCAACTAACTTCGCTATTATGAATTGATATTAACCAAGCCGTAGGGACAGAAAGGTTGACAAAGATATACAATCATAGTTTTCTGCTCTGGTTTGCTAAACCTACTAGTATTTCAACTCCAAGTACAACCGGCTTGTACGCGTACGTAACGTGCGTTACCTAATTTCTCCGCTAGATGGCGTTATAATACACTAGAAGACGTAGAAACGTCACGCGCCAGGTAGACTTCTTAAGGCGGGAGGCAGATATAGCTGTATCGTTACTTTATGTGAGGTTCTGTAATACATGTGTAAGAGGTTGATGTAGTGGGGATGTGGATGATTAATGTCCCTGCCAGATTTGTCAGTGCCGACGGGTAAAACGTTGTGAAATCCTGTAATTCGATACACGAGAGGAGAACAGAAGTGATTGCCAAACAAAGCCCCACACTTAACACATTCTTATCCTGTTCTTGGAAATCACCAGGTTTCTACATGTATATGCACTTCAATTTAGCCCGGTCAACATCGTTCTCCACGGTCAGCAAAAGCCAACAAGTGTGTTATTGCAATATTACAAGATGATAACCGGACAACTACAAGTATTCGTTATAGTTAAGTAAAGCATTTGTTAGAACGGGTGACAGGTGCGGTTTTCTGTGTTCATGGACAAAATGCTTAAACCTATAACGTTAAATCTGATTTTCATCGATATTATATTAAAAACTCTTTCGCTCCGTGTGTCTGTGCAGGTGTGGTTCAAGAACAGAAGAGCCAAGTGCAGGCAGCAGGCGGGCCAGGCCAAACCTCGTCCCAAGAAGAAGTCGGCATCTCCCCCGCCTGCCAGTACGGAGGAACAGGCGCCCACGTCCGAGTCACCCAGCTGCAGCGACAGTTCCGTCAGCTCCACGCCCGTGCCGGTCGCCGTGTCCATCGGGAACAACAACGCCAGTCCCACCGCCACGGTGTCTACCAGCTCCATCTGGTCGCCCGCGTCCGCACCCTCGGTCACCTCGGACCTCGGCTCCTGCACGTCCACCGTCACGTCCGCGCCTTCCTGCATGCAGCGTTCATCCTACAACGCCTACAACCACGGCGGGTACACGGCGCACGCTCAGACCTACTCCCCGGCACCCTACCCACCGACCACGTACTCCGCCACGTCCTACTTCGGCGGCATGGCGGACTGCTCGTCCTACCTGAGCCCCATGGCGCCCACACACCAGCTTCCGCCCGTCACTTCTCTCAACCAGATGAGTTCGGCTAATATGTCCGCGCACTCCATGTCTCACACCCCTCAACTGTCCCCCTCCTCCATGGGCCACGGGTCCCCCCTCAACATGAGCACACAGCCCGACTGCGTCGACTACACCAAACACGACCAGACCTCGGCGTGGCACAAATTCCAGGTTCTGTGAAGTCGACTGGAGCCGCGGGAACATGGCAATCAGCAGGACTGCTACTGTAGTACCCGTGTCTCTTCGTTCAGCCGACAGACGTCCCCTCATCATGCTAGCGTGTAGCAGCGTTCCATCCATGTACAGACCATGTCTCTGTCCGTTTTAAATAGGGCGTCTATCTGTGGAAGGAAGTTGACGTCGGACCTTACCTGAACCGAGATTTTGAACTGACTTCACCAGTATTTATTGTGAAGAAGATGGTACATTGAAAGGTTCTCTTATTTGAATTTTATTTATTTGTAGCCAACGAGTTTGAGATCAGTCAGTGAATGTTTAGGCTGTGATAGAGGTTCAAACAGTATCAAACAGGGTTTACACTTGCAAGAAACTTGACAGAAAGAAACACACTGTATGTACAGCTAACTAGTATCTTCTGTGTGTCCTATTAAGAATAGCGAAAACTCTGTTGATTGTAAGACCATGTCAAAGAAAGGTATCGAATTGTAGAGTCTTCATCGCTTCTACCTATAAACATGTACGTTGGTAGTTGCAATATTCTGTACATAATAGTTTCCCAACGTGCTTGAGTTTTATTCTCTAACCATGTGGAGAGCGGCCATGACAACAAACCCATGCCCGTTAGTTCAGTTATTAGACGGGATCCTCAGCCTTAATGGTTCATCGCAAATAAAACCTGTAGTTACTATTACCGCACAGTGACTAGCTTAGCATGATAAAGTCGACCACACCAAGGAACTAAATGTTTTAGGATGAACGCGTGGATGAGATATTTTACTGAATATTTAGAGGGTTCCGGAGTTTCTCGAAAGTTATGTGAAACTCGTCGAAAGATTGTTCTTTTAAAGTGTTCTGGCAGATGTAAATATGATGTATTTGTGTTCGTCGTTCATGTCAATACATAGGCTACTGCCACCCTACGTCAGTGTTAAGAACGTTTGAAAGCACAACCGACGCGGGACGCCGAAACCCAGTGAAGAACTAGTCAGTCTGCTGTAGTTAGTCGTAACGGTGGCTAGACGTGCAGAGATATTGACGTTGTATTTGCCACATGTGCCCATTCTGGGCAACATGATCAAGTATGGAAGAGATGTAAACATGTATTAATCGTGCTGTTTAGATTGGCGTTGTGGGTTGACTGACTGTGTTGTGAAGAGTTGTGACATTACCGGGTTGTCGGATACTGGACTGTACAGCCCCGTCATGGAACAAATGTGAAAACTGTATCCATATCATTTTCTGATAGTGACGGCGTTTCAACCATATGTGTGTATGTGAGTACATTGCACGACGTCAGATTTCATTGTAAAGTCGTTCTAGCTGGTTGTATTAAATCAATGGAACAACACACTTTCAGTTTGATGTGTCTGTGTCCATAACGTTATATCAGTAATTTTTTGTTAATTTTTTAACGATCGCATTTTTTAAGGTTCGCAAGCCATTTTTAAATTTTAATTCGCAAGGCATTTTTAAAAGAACTAGTTCTGAACAAGTGAAAAAGTTTACCAGTAACGAGGATTTAGTTACGAAGTTACTTTATCCGGCCGCTTATGCCTAGGGGCTTTATAATGAGTACGGATTCAACAGAATCTTTTAGATTCTGTAACAAAAGTAACTAGTACAAATAGCAGACCGATAGTCTCACGACAGGGATTGACAACTAAACGTACAGAAAAAACACACGAATAACAACAATCAGCAGACCGTTCCCTCAAGCCCCGTCAAGAAATCCCATGCCTTGACTAAAACACGGATCTTCACATGCAGCTAATCCTGTTTACTGTTCACTTTCGTACAGAACCTCACACGAGCGTGAAAAGTGTGATGATGAAAGAAAAGTTGGTATGCCGAGGACATACCACGGATGGTATATCGTTCAAAGCACGCGTGGAGGAAAAATAACGAAGTGTACTAGTGTACATATTCCCCAATAAAGACGACCCCGGTGATTGACAATGAACTGTTCAAGGGAGGAAGTGGAGAAAATGCGTGAGTCCGCGGTACAGAGTCAGAAACGCAATGGTTGACCGGTGGACAAGCCACCCATGTGTGTACTGTAGTCTCTACTAGACATTTTGGGTTGCTGGAAAATAGTAAAAATTAGCCAAAGAGGCTGAATGATTTGGCATAGGAGTTGCCAGCCAAAGATGCTACACATAGTCGTATGTTAAACTTACAAGTAAGTGATAAAACATTTGGAAGTAATGTGAACATTAAAACAACGCTAAGATCCAGCTTATCAACGGTTTATGTAACGTTATGGGTGGATTGTCTTCTTGGAAACGTCATTCAACACTTTGCGCATTTTCCGCTAGATGGTGCTTGTGCATGGACACATGAGCTCGAGACATGTCCGGGATACATGGATGGAATTGCGAGTAGGGATGAGCTCGAGCCGAGAGAACCGCCGCTCGTGGCACCGCGGCTCGTGGCACCGCCGCTCGTGCCACCGGAAATTGGAATGTCACATTAAAGAGATGGGGGACATAAAACTTTGCTTGGGGTCACCGAGTTGATTAAGCACACTGGTGGTAAGATACACATCAGATAAAACAGTGTTGGTACTGCGTAGATGTCGGAGGCAAGTTCTATTCTAGAAGTTTTTCTCGTCGAAAAGAGACAGCATTTTGAATTTCCGCCCCTCGTGGCGGTTTTTTATAAGGCATTAGGGGCGTGGCTCTTTGGGTTAACAGTACGGGACTGTGGAGTTGGGAAAAAGTTCTACCTCGTCGAAAAGAGACAGCGTTTAGAACTTCCTCCTCTCGTGGCAGTTCCCATTATGAGACATTTGGGGCGTGGCTCTTTGGGTTAATTAAGCACACTGGTGTTAATATTGGTATCACATATAACAGTACGGGTACTGTGGAGTTGGTAAAAAGTCTTTCTCCTTGAAAAGAGACAGCGTTTTGAATTTCCGCCTCTCGTGGCAGTTCCACATTATAAGACATTGGAGGCGTGGCTCTTTGGGTTAATTAAGCACACTGGTGTTAATATTGGTATCAAATATAACAGTACGGGTACTGTGGAGTTGAGAAAACCAAAAGGTTTTATTCTAAAAGTCCTTGCCCTCGAAAAGAGACAGCATTTTGAATCTCCGCCTCTCGTGGCAGTTTTCCATTATGAGACCTCTTAGGCTCTTATGACACTTAACTATGACGGACTTTGGACTCCAGCCCGACTAAGGACCCCTCCCGTAAAACATGTCTCAGATGGTCTTGTTTGCCCAACTGGTATAGCGACCAGGGCCAAATAGAGAGGATCAGACAGCATTTTGAATTTCAGCCTCTCGTGGCAGTTTCAATTATGACTTACTATGCCGGACTTTGGACTCCAGCCTGACTAGGCACTAAGGACCCCTTCCGTTAATGTTATCTCAGATGGTCTTGTTAGCCCAACTCGTGTATGGAGACCAGGGCCTTGTGATACAGGCATTTATTGTTTTGTTTCTATGATTCCATAACTAAATATTCTTGCTATGTACAGCATGTCAGTATAATCCATGTACTGACAGTCTACAGCCTGTCAATAGCAGGAAAAAATCCCGCGGGTGGTCGACGCCATCTTGGTTTGACGGCATAATAGAACCGCCGCTCGTGCCAGTGCCGCGAGCCGCGGTGGCATATTAGCCGTTTTCCAAACCGAGGCTACCGGCTCGTGACGCGAGACCATCCCAGATGGGAATTGCTGATGTCACTGATTTGATGCCAAATAACTTATCTTAAGTCAACATCTAGCTCCCTCCTAACCAAAAATATTATGATTTAACCACATTTCATGATGATGTTGTTCCAATGGGCACTGAATAACTGCCTAAATACAATTGTTTAACTACCTAGATGGCTTGTGAAGTTTGACCACACTCAGTTGATTTATTTTATTTTATTCACATTTATTTTCCGAGGATGAGGCAAAAAGTTATAAAACTTATCTCAGCCCTCTCCTCACACATAAAAGGATACAATAAAACAAAGTAATAATAATAATAAGAAATGACAAGGGTACATAGTAGGCTGGTGTACAAATCAAAATGAATCAACTAAATCAAACAAAACGTCCTGTCTGCAAAATAAAGTTGAAAACCACATCAAATATGTTACAGTTGTTGACAAACGACAATGAGGGGTTACCCCTGAGAATGGTTGAACATAAAGTGTTGTCGGTGACGTTGTTTGTGTCAAATGGCAGAATGTTAGTTAGAGATGATAACATGTCAATGCGTTCGTCAGTGTACAGTGGGCAGTGTAGGAAGTAGTGTACAGCTGTTTCGTTGAAGTGACCACATTTGCACGCAGGACTGGGCACACATTGATGTTGGAACAGGTGAAAGTTTAACTGACTGCGGTTGAGTCTGAGTCTGGTAAGGTGGATAGCTGGGTTTCTCGGACCGTGGGAGAAGTGAGGTTGAGTGTGAGGGCTGTGATAAAACGTCTCCAACTCTTTTTTAAAGATGGCAATTGATGTTGATGCTCGTGTAGTTAATGGCAAGTTATTCCAGGAAACAATGGAAGTAGGTAGAAAAGATCTTTTGAATTTCTCAGTTCTAGCAGGAATTAAGACGTAATTCTGATCAGTACGGAGACTGTAGGGGGTGGAGTCACGGGTTTGTAGTGGTACCAATTCCTGTAAGTATTTTGGTGCTAATTCTTTGATAATTTTATAAAAGTTTACAAGTTTATGCTTTTGACGCCTACATGACATGGTTTCCCAGCCAACCTCAGACAAGATGCTATTACTATTTGTTCCTCTCATTGCGCCAGTACATATCCGAGCTGCATTGAGTTGAACAGATTCAATTAAGTCAGAGTCTTTACCAGTTAATCCGTCCCAAACAACGTCGGCATACTCCAGTAATGGCCTTATCATTACTTTATATAAGGTTTCAAGAGTTTTTCGTGGAACAAAGGATACTATTCTTTTTAAAAGGTTAATCCGTTTCATCGCGGTAGCAGTTATAATTGAAACATGTAATGACCATGATAGATTAGGGGTAAGATGTAGGCCGAGGTGTTTGTGGGAAGGGACTTCCATTAACTGAACTCCTTTAAAATACAATGGTGGGTGGGCAATTTTTATACGTTTGGATGAAAATGTAATAAGTTCAGTTTTGAGTGGGTTAAAGGTCACCAGCCATTGGTCTGCCCAGTCTACTCAGTTGATTTTATGGATGGCATCCTCTGGACGTCCTAAAATCGTGAGCGCAAAGACAAAATGTGCCTTATTGTATTATTCTATGTACCAACGCCGGTTATACAAGTTCTTGTTTTGTTTCAGAAGTTATGGTGTATTAGAAAATAATTCAGCCCAGGAAGCGGCTCCTCCCGGCGCCCATGGCTATATTGCACCTTTTAAATAGTAATCCACACACCAAACAGAGGACTTGGACAAAGGGACAAAACAATGTTGCATTTGTCCAATGTTTTCTTCTCATATAGAAGATCTCCTTCAGAAAATGATGATTTACGGCAAACATACACTCTACCACTTCTATTGGTTAAACGTCCTTGAATGAAGGAACGTATATGACCTGACTGAAACAATAGCACGCCTCCGTGCTATGATTTTCGTAGGCGCCACCTACCGTCTTGGGAGATTACTGCAAGTTAGTTAGCACTCTGTGGGGCAGGTTTGATTAACAATGTCACAGGAGATGTTATTAGTATTCTAGAATATCATTTGTGTGCGGATGCGTTGCAGAACTGCTTGCGATTCTAGTACATATATTTTACTTTGGAAATCTCAGGGCGGGGTGAGTAATCTCCAAACAGATGGAGAGGATTCCGACAGTCGGAAAACGTTACGTAGCCTGGGTACTATCCTGGTTAGTTTACGTCCGTTCCCACAGTCGCTACCGACCAACCAGGATGGCACCCAGGCTAAACGTTACGATCTCCCACCCAAATCTGCTTGGACATTAGGGGAGTTGCAGAACGAACTATACCATAATTTTCAACTTATTCATATCGTTTTTGTCATCTTCGAAAGTTTCTAAACATATTTTCATGGTCATTTAGGACTTTCACCGATACATTCACCGGTCCCAACAGACAGAGGTCTTAATGATTTATGGACCGTGCCACAAATGATTTGTCTACAGCTGATTCGTAGAACAAGGAGACGCCAAGTTTACAACTTATCAGTTTTATTAAGTTCAGACAACACATGTAGATCAACGCTATGAGGCACACCTTTCAGATGTGTAACACAGAACACCATAACGTTTCTTGACTATAGAAGAAGTGGCCATACATCATGATTTCAGAAGCTACCAGTACTATTCTACTGGGCCGCGTCTTACACATATTTGTTTTGGTATACTTCAACGCTTGAATAATCTTCTGCATACATTTTCGACATCGCGGTGACAAATAAATAACAATCATAAATAAAAAATCTGTACACTTTATATCTTGCTATTTACAAACTTCCGCTCGCAGTTTTACTGTCCATCGCTAGGTGTCGACTTCGCCTCTCTACTGCAGGGGGAGGCGGAACTGTCTGGTCGCACTGCAGACGTGTACAGCCGCTGGCTTGTCGTGAAGGAACCGGGAGAGATGGCCTTTCCGTCGTCAGACGAGACGCTGCGGACGTCATCCTCGTCGTCCAGACTCGTGACGTCGACGTCGGAGTCGCAGGCGTCGTCTGCAGCCTTGGTCGAGCGCTCCGCCACCTCCCGCTGCTGCTTGCGCCACTTGGCACGGCGGTTCTTGAACCATACCTGAGGAGAGAGGAGCAGACAGTGAGGCCATGGCTAACGCGACACATTCTTTCTTTTCTATAAAACTGGCTATGTTTGTTCTTTGTAGGTACGCCACACCGACATATATAGACCATTGTCGCTGCGGCCCATTGATACCATTGTGTCATACTAAGTGGCAAGTCTGCGGTAGCGAAAGGCCATCCGTCGCCCTTTGTGGGACACCAGACCATTATCCAAACTGTTTTGTACACCGTAGTTTTGATTGATTGTTAAGTTGATACCACAACTGTTACATCGTTTGAACAATTTAACAGCTTGTCGGGGGTAATCCGACGAATACACATCGCCATGAAAGCGGACATACGCCAGCCTGCCACACGTGTGTACTGGCCCTTTGTTGCACACACTTCTCACATAAATACAGTTCAGCGCTTCAATATAGCAACCTTCTTGAAGGGTACTTCAACAAATTAGAACTGAATGAAAAGCAAATTTGTGTCCACGCTACTGAACGCAACACGTGTAACCCAGTTCACAAAATAAGAGCGCCATTGGAGTAAGTTTTGAATATCTCTCCACAACTTCATATTAAAATCTTGTGGAGAAGATAAGATTATAGTTTGTTTGTAGTTCATGAAGTGAAATGCCGCGCAGCTCACCTCAACTCTCTCCTCCTTCAGCTCCACCTTCATGGCGAGCTCCTCCCGCAGCAGCACGTCCGGGTAGTGCGTCTTCTCGAACGTCTTCTCCAATAGCTCCAGCTGCTCCTCGGTGAAGATGGTGCGGTGTCGCCGCTTCCTGCGGCCCTGCCGCCCGAACATGGCGGGGTGGGTCGCCTGGCCGATCGTCATCTGTACCGGGGAGGTGGTCCAGGCCGGGGCTGCGTACGCAGGGATGGGCAGTCCGGGCATGTAGGCAGACGCCATACAGGGAGAAGCGGGATAACCTGGAAAAATCAAGATGACTATAGTTCAGATATTGATACAAGATTAGGATGAGAGAAGTACACACACAACGAGATGTGAGCGGTAGCTTCCTTTCACAAAGTGAAAATGGTGGGAAATTCAAACAAGGAAGACGGTCACAAGTTTACTGACAAACATAATTACGGCAGTGTTGGTCATAAAACATCAAAACATGGTCTTTGAGGGTAGGAACCGCCGATCGGCAGAGTCTTTTCATCAGTAATGCTGGTTCGAAAATTATACTAATTGTTTGTGTGTCCTTCTTCTAACACCTTTAGCACACAAAAGTCGTTCTCTTGTGTAACCTTTCTGTGTTTAGTATGATTGCTGCAGGAGTAAAATACAATTTGTATAAACCAGAAGCCTTTTCAGATAAGGCTTCTGAAAAAAAAGACGACAAAAGAAATGAGTCAGGATTCCCAGAAGTCACGCTGGGTTTATCTTTTACACCACAAATTTCCCTCAATCAGAAAAGCATATATGTCCAAAGTTTAGTAGGGGCATATTGCGGGATTTAGCGTGGGACCCACAACCTCGCTGTTTGCGCTCGGTCCGTTCAAAGACCCATGCGGGTTGGGAAGACCACAGAGCCAAACTCTATAAAATGTTGGAACTTTACGAGCGATGAAGCCAAACGTGTTCAAACACACCTTTACCGTTGCCCGATTGTTACCGAAGTTTTGGGTCGTTGTCGTCGAACTGAATACCAAGCTGAAAATTGGTACCGATTTGCACACCTGCGTGTCGACCCGCTTTGTGCGGAAAAGTGTTCTTACGTAAAAACACGCCGTCTGTCGAGTTCCGCCAATAGAATTAGGAAGTCAGGAATGAGGCATGACATTATGTCGCCGCTATTACTGCTGGCGACGACAAGCGGTCCCGCAGAATTGCCCCCAGAGTCCATTCAGATGAGCACAAGCGTTACGCAGGTGAACACACAGACACACTGGCGTGTTACGGTCAAGAACAGTCTAGAACTAGCCCATCGTGCGAAGACTTCTTCATGTAGGGACTTAATTCACATTTTTCTTCCAAGAAAAAAATTTGAAGGGTGAAAGAAAGCTCTGAAAAGCCAATGCTTTATGCTGTCAGATTCACAGAAGTTTACACACCAATCTTTCCATCTACGCGTTAGTGAAGTCAAAGTAGTCCTTACCTGTAGGGTATTCCTGTGCGACCATAGCGGGATAGACGGCGGTGGGGTGGCAGGGCATAGGGACCCGGTAGTAGGCCGGGATGTGCTGCGGGGTTGGCCGGCGGGCCAGCAGGCTTTCGATGCTGAAGACGGACGGGCTGGTGACGGTAGTCATCGTGACGTGTTCAGCTGAGTCGGTCGGGAAAGGCAGAAGGCTCGGAGCGCGGTTCTACTGGGGCGACTGAACTCCGAAGAAGACCCAGAGAGTGGAAGCAGCCAACTGATGCCTGAGTCGCGCGGTCCTGGCTTTTTAAATGCTTCCTGCGCATTCATTACAATAATTTAGCATGCCTTTGATGCACCACCGAATGTCATTGTTCCGAACAAACACAGAGGGCGAGATGAAGGCATGCAAATGTTTCACGCCGAATTCGAAAACAATGGACGGGTGATTACTTTTGAAGTGATTTCCATTTTCTTACGACCAACGACGTCTGTTTCAGGCCCGCCTGTTTGTTCTGCTTGAATTAAGAAATCTAAACCTATCAAATCTGATTATAGTTTTATTCCCTTGAGTATCCATGTTTGGTTACGTGAAAGTCAAAGTCCGGACATTGACTACAACACTAACACGCGCCTCGCCCACCCATCTTGTTAGCAATTTTCGTCTAGGCTCGAACGTCACCTTCAACTTAGCATCTCAGCAATTCCTAATCATTTTCTTCTACGGTAGATTTCCAAGTCATGGGCGTCCCAGTGTCCGTCACCACGGGGGAGGTATTGGGTGTTAATGTGCCCTTTTGACACCCTATAAAATATTTTAGCACGAACGATTCATCGGACAGTGGATTATCAACCTGCCTATTGTTACAACACAATCTGTCAAAAGATCAGGTATGCGACACAGAAGGACACATGGTAGCCACAGGGACTGCTTGGCCCATTTTCAGTTACAAACGTTGTCGTGAAATAAAATTATCCAACAAAAATAGTGACCCGCTATTTGCAGATAGTCGTACAAAATGTGTACGTGCATGCAAGTAGGTTTGGTGCATGTATGCTGTGCGGTAAAGGGTGTATCGGACGGCTTGCTGTGCCAGAATGTGTATTCATATGTGAAAAGGCGTTGCATGTATATTGAGCTGATGTATGGGCGAATAGTGTGTATTTGACCTGAGTTATAAGTATGCCTGTTGCCGGCTATTCCACGACAGAACAGGACATCAAACTGTCATATGACAGAAAATTCACTGCTATCATAGCTGTGAGAATTCCTGATTGTTGATGAATCCAATATTTGTGGCCTTGGAGTTTTCCAAGAGGACGCCGGTTGTGTCTGGTACGAAAGACATGTATTGGGAAGCCACAGATTGGAATCAGGCGTGTTTATGTGGTTAATTTGATGGTATAACAAGATCCTTCAAATCCTAATTCTCCAAGTCTGAAGGAAGATTAGGGGATCTCCGATCGGTTGGCACACACTCAGGGCCAGTCGACACGTCCTGGGCCCTCCTCAGCAGATAAATGGGATTAAAACTTCACTCAGCTCCTTATTAAGAAGGTTTACCCCGCGGTCTTATAGCAGTGTTTGTGACTTCCCAAACTGATAAGCAGGATTTCTATCCTCGACGTCTAAAAAACTGTACCGGGAAGATGAAGATTCAACTGAATGCTCAGAACAAAGAGAAGCACGGACAGGCTGTGTTGAATATTCATAGACGAAATGAAAGATCTTAGCAAAGGTATATCATGATACATAAAAAGGGTTTTGATGAAAGTTTGATAGCAATTATATTTCTTGTAAACTTTTCTTGTGACATTTCTCCATTCTTGTCTATATTTCCTTTGGGGGAACAAGAGCGCGATGTGCCCTCTGCGATGTCGGCCCCCTCCCCACACGTGATACCCAGCCTTCCTAGGTTCTGTCGTGTTCTCGGATTGCTAGCATGGAATGAGAGATGGTGAAGACTGTGTAACACCTAAAGAACACACATATGCAAGTCATGCACCACGATACGCCCATGGAGTTACCCCCATGATACGCCTAAGCCTAGACTAGACGTAAAGGACACTTTTGATAACGACTATGCCGTATTTATTTGAAGCGCTGCGTGTACCTTTCCCACGAGAAATATATAATCAGGAAGTTCCGAGCACGAACTATTAGCGATCTTTCCTCATAGAAAGTTTGCATAGCCATATCTGCACTCATAGGCACCCATGCATAACGTTATACTTTACGCACTGTTAATGTGCGGGGCATGTGAAAAACACCTCTTGATTTCTGAGAACCATTCTAGTATTTTTGTGGTCCCCAATAGACTGGTTTCTCTTCATGTTAATTCAACAACGAAAACAAAAAGAGAAAATCTCTCCCAGTTTGCATTGAAGTTCTAATTGGTGGTGGTTGTGCGGTGTTTGCTCTGCGCGGGAAGTCTTTAGCATTACACGGCTTGTAGGTCCGAGCTGTTTGCTGGCCGAAAATCCTTAGTCGAGAAACAAAGGAGCTGTAAGAATCTTACGATCTTTGACACCTCTCCAAACGATTTACGTCAATGAAGGTGTGAAAACCTGGGCCCTCCACAGCTGTGTCGACTTCCGTCTATAGTTCATCTGTTTAAAAGTAACGGCCAGTCTTATCAAACTGTACCAGAACTGAGAAGAGATAAACTCAGCTTTCTAAGAAGAATTGTAATGGAATTGCTGAAAAAAAAAACGCCTCACGTACTCTTCTACCAGTACACATTGAGCCATCTGAATCACCTGGTCATGAATGATACAGGGACGCATATGATATGGCTAGGTTAATGCGGTTGGCTGAAGTGGACAAAGCTGGTGCAATGGTAGTCTCCTCCAGACGGGGTGAATAAATCGTAGAAATCGGCCTAAAAAGGGTATTAATTGGCAAAAGAAGTCTGGTGGAGACTAGTGCAATGGATCTGTACCGTTGATATGACTATAGTATGAGACAAATGCAAAAACTTTGGAGATGTGCAAGTATTCAAAACTGCAGCGGTCGTCATATTGGTCAGCCAAAAACTATGGCAGTTCACAACGCCATGAGGGTTGGTCGGGAAGTTAGCATCATGAGATAAAAGTTTTATTTTCGCGTTTGAAAGACGAACCCTGATGAAAATTGCTGTTGCAGTTTCTAGTTTTACGGCATTTCCATTTATCCCACTTTTCGCTGCCAGGGTATAAAGTGTTTTTTTTGTGTGTGTGTGTGTGTGAGTGTGCTGTTGAAGTTGACGTTGACAACGCTGTGAGGAGAAAGATCTCTTGATCTAGAATCAGGGCTACAGAGAACATGGTACTTGTTCTGTGGTGTCTGCGCCTTTCTTACATATGACGTCGACCAGGCACTGAACGAGCTAGCTAAACAGTGTTGAAAACCAGTTCTGTTGGGAGATGTTTGTGCATTTACCATGATCTCCGGTATGTACAGCTTAGTTGGCGTTTGTTTTCGAGAAATTACTAAGTTTGCTTGCACTCGCACTTACTTCTCTACTCCAGCACCTCTTTCCGAGTGTTAATCTTTTGCTCACGTCCCGACCGTCTACAGTTTCACGGGATTAAATCCATTGATTAAGCCTAATCAGCTTTAATTAATTGTCCACTCTAACTGGGACGGAGTTAACCATGTGACACCCATCTCCTATACACATTTTTACGTCGCGGTGTTACCTCGTTGCCGGAGATAATGACTTCTCCGCCCTGTCGTACATATACATGCGCGAAACTCTTCAACTTCCCACCTCGGCGCCCTTGAAGCGGTCCCTCCGGTCACTTGTGAAGATCACCACATTGTTATTCTATTTGTTCGACCCATTCGGAACGACAAGACCTGTGTGAAATGATTAGGACAATTAACGAGATGATCAAAACGTTTCTATAACGAGTTGAATCGACCGTGACGGGTGATCAACGCGTCCATTATCGACCATTGTGTGCCCATTCATTACCACTTACACAGCCACACTGGGACCGGTCCTCCTTCCTACATTTTCATGACTGAAACTTGCAAATTTCTCGATGAATTTTGATAGTCTACAGATGAAAAACAAACGACCACCGTGTCTTCAATGGCACCGCCTTTTAACCAACGGTAACATCAAGTGTGGTCTGTTTTCATCTCTAAGGTTTCACTCATGATTCGCAGAATTTAGAAATCTGTTGTGTACTGTTTTGTTCTTCCATTCATTTTAGCCAGAGTTCTAGGCGCATCATCGATCACGATATTCTGATATATTTATATTATAAAGAAAAGGATAATACTAGTATACGCTAGCCGAGTGTGACATTGGAAACAGTGGTAGCGAAGTGTATAACGTTATTATATGGTGTTGATAACAACAATCACCGATATTCCTTCGCTGACGTTCGTCCAGTTTGTCCTACCTATACCAGTTCAGGTGTCCTGTCCCTCCCGGCCCACTCCCGTCACTCCTTTCAAGTTCAAATACCGTGTTGTGCCATTAGTCATGCCTGGGACAGAACAGTGGCTCTTCAAACCGAACAATCAGGACAGAATAGTCAGGAGTTTACATCGACCGTGGGGATTCGCCACATTAGACTTGGCTTTTTGCACTTGCAAAGGCCCAGGAATGACCAAGACAACAAAGTTTCAAGTGCGCTGTGTCAACATATGTAATTCAACTGTATGGAGTATTGCTGTAAGTTTTTTCAGTGTCTTGCATCCTTCACCTAGTACTTCTCAACATCTGGCGTCTGTACAGGCAAAACATTCTTGTTTGTTTAAGTGGACTGCAGACTTTTGTGCCATAAATCAACCAATAGCAAGTATATATCAATGTAAGCTCTATGTTTGAATTACATCTATATGTGTACAATGAACAAACATACATCAGTTTGTTGCGTATATAGTTTTTAATGTCCAGCCTGTACAAAAACATAACTTATTAGCTGATTGATGGATATATACATGTACATGTACTAGTATATCTCATCACAGTCTGATTTACACTTAGTGTACAAACAAAATAGTGAAGCAACAAAAAGAATTTACACTGAATGCAGAATATACACAGGTCTGATCCTCTCTTTGTTGATCACTTCTAGGATGCTGAATACTTGAGTAGTTCAGAATAGATACTTCAAAAGGTTACAATTTGTGCAGCAATGACTTTCATTAGTTTTAATGACCATCATGTACTTTAACGAGCATCATCTGTGCTTCAGTCTGTTTTTATCAGTCCAGTTTGAGCGAGAATGAAGCTCCACATGAACAGCCATGGTCAGCGTTAGGATTGTTGATGATACGAAATGCAGATCTGATCAGTTCTTCATGATAGTCAATTGTGGATCCCTTCAGGAAATCTAATGACTCCTTGTCAACTGCAACTCCAACCCCATCTTTTGTAAATACCCTGAAAAACAAAAACAGACAATAAAACCTAGCATCATCACATGTGTTCATATTAAAAGGCAATGCTGAGTGGTGCAACTTACATCAAGAATACTGTCCATTTTTAATTTTTATGAGTCTGTAGCCTCCCAATAACTGATTCAGAAAAGTCAACGTCTGATCAAGTAGAAAAGCCATACATAGGATCACATCAGATATGTTTTCAAGACACAAAAACAAGGACCCAGAATTCTCCTCTATAATCATCTGTCAGGATGTTAGTAGCTATATTGACTCAAACATCCTCTCAACATCATAAATGTATTTGACTGTTTAGGGAGGTTTCATAGTTTAGGTGCATCGAGGGAAGGTTGCTGAGCAGGTATCTTGTTTGACAAATTATGTTTTCCATTTGGCTAAAATCAATCCTATTAGTATTACAGAATACATGTATTCTGAACTGTGCTTTGAAAATGGGGACTCTTTGTGCTTCACAGGGCACCTCATTCTTCATTAGGTTTGGAAAATAGGCTGTTCTTTTTGCATAATAATAAACCAGTGATGTTATTTCAAAAACATGGAGAAACAGGAGGTCTCCTCACCTGTCATCTTCCCCAATGTTTTTGTCTAGTTCAAACTTGTACTGGAACCCTGAGCACCCACCGCCTTCAACAACAACTCTCAACAACTCATCTTTCTCACTGATTTTCTTCAGTCGCTAGAAAGTAAACATATAAAATTACTTTCTGACATGATTGTATATGATACAGTATGATACAAGTTAGATCAAGATTTAAGTTTCATTAGCACTTGTGACAAGGCATTTCTAAAGAGACAAAAAGACATTCAACCTTTCTGATAATATCAATTGCACTACAAAGTATGTTTCAGAAAAAGTATGGATAACTTTTCCGACCTGTAGGTTGGTATAAATATTGTATAGTATATATACAAAAAATTTCTCAAACATTTGCCTGAACAACTGAATCATACTGAATAAACAGTGAAACCATAGTTTAAAATATTAAGCTGATTGAGACCTGCACAGTTACCTTAACACAGCTGTCACTGAGTCTGAGTTCATCTGTGATGTTTGCAGTTTGAGCCTCTGTTTTCAACAGTCTCCTGCCACCACAGACTGGTAGGGAAGACTGTGAGGACCAGGAATGGCTCGACACTGAAGTCAGTTGTCTACTTCTGTGGACCATCTGTGGTCTTATTGTCATCCTGAAATATATATATATATATATGAATGAACTTTATTGCTCAACACTCGTACAGGGTACAATGTATGGCAGTAATACAACAATATACTACAAAACTTTACTTACTACAAACTACTATCTAAACAGTATTTGAGTTACTATATGGTCATGTATTGATGTATATGTTCTCGCTTATGGAATAAAGTGTACAGAAATTGGCCTACGTAAGCAGATAAGGTCCTTTTTCAACGTGGTTCAGCTGCAGTTTATAACATAACTGATAGGAGGCATACTTATATGCTGTAGGGCACAAGACTACTAAGCAGCTATGTTGAAGATAATGTTCTGTCAATTGAAGTAGAAATGGACATTGGCTAGACACCTGCTCTACATGTGGACACAGAGTGGAACTTAGTACATGATGCACTAGGATAAAAAGAAGCAGTAGGTGTGGTAGGCTATTTGTATCTAGCCTAGGGCTGCATCCTGTTGTCAAATGACAGTGTGATTCTGATTGATTTATCAAATAATACTCATCAGGCCACTTTTAGTTGTTGATGCTGGACTGGACTTAGAAGTACTTTATTTTGAGGTCATTCAGATTGGAAATTGTACATATGTCATGCAGTACATGTATTTTCTATCAAGTATTAAACTTTAATAGACACTGCAAACTTGCTGGTGAAAAATGTATTTTTTTGCTAGTAGTTTTAATTGACCATGCAGCTGTTGATGAAAAAAAAAAGTGCATACAGCACAATTCAAAACTACATGCACAAAACAAGCCTGCAACTAGACTGACATCTTCGCTCAGGAACAGTATGTTCTAGGTTCTATATTTACATAGAAAATATGAAACCCAATATCAATTTCATTTAACGTGAACGAACATAATGACGCCAATGTTAACGTTATCTATCGATCGGTCGACTCCATGGTTTCCGAGAAAGAGAAAAGCAGTTACTCAGCCCACGGGTGTGTATCAGACAAATCCTCGGTGCTTCTGTTCTGGCAAGATATTACATAACTTGCTCCACCCACCCACTCCCAAACTCCCACCCCCACACACACACGGGTAAATACGCCAATTATTTAGGCATTATCCGAGTTGCCATGCTAAAATGTTCAAGCTATAAGAGCAGCGTTAAGTTACGATTGAAGTTCTGTGGCTGTGAAGGGCCTAGACTTATCGTCGGCACGAATGTTGTTGGTCGAAAAGACAACTGACCTAGAGAATGACGAAAGTCCTGTCCGACCCAGAGCCGCCATTTTAGCCTACGTCATTTCCGCTTCCACCGTATGCAAAGATTATTATTGCTCTGTCCTTGAACGGACTGGAATGTTTAGTTACTATGATCTAAACTGGACATCTGTATGAAAGATCGGTAAATAATTGAAAATCCGCAGAACTGGCTCGAATCGACTAGAGACCTTTATGCTGCACCCTGCATGTCAACAAGCCCTGGGGCATGCCGGGAATGCTTCGCCTTTGGTTAGGAAGAAAACACTGCTTCTCAGATCAGGTAAAATTGGTGGGCAAAAATATTCAATTGCTGTCTTTAACAGTCGTTTCTGACGTCTTTGTAATTGTGAGGAAATCTTAAGTAGTTGCTGATCTTATAAAGATGGAGATGAAGAGAGCTGTATACCCGAGAAGCTAGCTAGAGGCCGTGCTTATCGGAGGTCGAGGGGTGTGTACCTAGAACAAGGAACAACATCATGGTGGTGTTCAACGGGCTGATAAAGGTGAGGGTCTGCGAGGCTCAGGACCTGCGTCCCACGGACTATGCCACACGGCACGCAGTCGTGCGCCCCGCCTCACAGGTCCTAGATCCGTACGTCAAGCTGAACGTGGACGACACGTGCTTCGGACAAACAACGGCGAAACCAAAGACGTTGAACCCGAAGTGGAAGGAGGACTTCACGACTGAGGTGCATAATGGGCACACGGTTGGTGTGACTGTGTTCCACAACACAACCATAGGCCCTGATGACTTCGTGGCCAACTGTAATGTCACCTTCGAGGAGCTTCTACAAGAGCAAGGAGGCACTGCTGACATATGGGTGAGTTTCTTCTAGAATATATCTTAAGATTCAGCA